AATTGATCTCTAGAAGTCTACCAGATAAAGGCACGAGTGACTTCCGTGTTCAACAGGGATGCTCCTTGACAACATCTGAAGGGTGACTTTTGACCTGAACAATAAAGAGTAGACAATTCAGCTGGCAGCACTTCATTGACACCATGACTTCACTCTTTGATAATCAAAGAGGCATATTTGTTTTATGGTAAAGTCAACAAGAACAAATGGAAACAAACCCAACCCAGCAGTTATTGAGGGTACAGCTCTGTCAGGTGATTGTTCAACCATAACACTGAACATACGTGTATACTTCCCTATATGTTTGCACATTTCACCGTTCAGATAGATCAAGCACACACAGCTCACTGCTCTGCATTATTAAAATGCCAAACATTTCTAACCCCGCTGTATATATTTCCAGAAGGCAAAACAACAAAGAGTCTGGTAATACTCACAGTTATGACGACACAAGCCTATTTCATCAGTTATGAAAGGTTTTGTTTTCTGGAGTAATGTCCCCACCAGAAAAAGGATAGAGACCCAGTTCACCCAGTTAGATCAGGCATGGTCAAACTTGGGCCCTCCAGGTGTTTTGGACTTCAACTTCCACAATTCCTAACAGCCTCAGGCCCTTTCCTTTTCCCCCTCAGCCGCTTAAGCGGTTGAGGGGGAAAAGGAAGGGGCCTGTGGCTGTTACGAATGGTGGGAGTTGGAATCCAAAACACCTGGAAGGCCCAAGTTTGACCATGCCTGAGTTGGATAGTGTTGGAGTTCAGCCTGTGATTGTGTTTCAGGATCACAGTGATTTGGATGTGGGAAGTGATGCCAATGAATTTCAAGATGGCAATGGTTTGGTCAATGATATTGAAGCAGAGAAGGACCAGGAGACCCCTGTGCAAAGTGTATGAGAATGTGCTACCAGAGAGTTCCCAGGATTTAGGGATTGAAAACAACTGGGCACCTGGCCCAGCTGCAAAACTTAATGAGAAAATAGATAGACGAGAGGAAATTAGTCAAAACAGACAGGCCGAACAGTGCCTTCGGCGTTCTGCTAGGCTCTGAAAGAAAAAGATAAGGGGATCTCAAGTAAGGTGAAACCAATTCTTGAGTGCGTGGAATAGCTTAATGAGGGGATAAAAGTTCCAAGTATGGGAAATATAGTCAGATGAAGTATCATTGGAATCAAATGTAGTTCTCGTCCTTGTTTTCATGGAAGCCTAGCTTGGAAGATTCTTGTCTAAGTATTTCTTGTTTCATGGTTTGGATTCTTGGATTGTATAAATGCCTACTCATGACTTAAATTAATGTTTCCTGTTTTCCTGAATTATATTAGAGAAGTGTGGACTTTGTTTTTATGGACTTTGCTGAACTTAACCCTGGACTATTTTTGCTCCTGCTTATCTTCTTACCTGATTGGATTTACCTATTTCTTTAAAGTGTTTTTTACTTGCTGCTTTTTAATTATCTTCAATAAAAAGATTGTTTTCCAATCAACTGTGTCGTGTTTACAGTCAGAGAGCTATTCCTGTCCTGGAGTGAAACAGTTAGCACCAAACCATCAAATTAGTTAGCAGAGAAATAGTTTTCTAAGTTCTACAGAGATACTCGCAGGAACACCTCATCAAGCAAGAGTCCAAAAGTGGCAGGCTAAAACCCAGAACCTCAATCCATGGCTGATAACAAATGAGAGACTCCCTCCTGGGCACACAGAAGATTGGGCAACTTGGAAGGTGCTGAACAGACTGTGCTATGGCACCACGACAAGGTGCAGAGCTAACCTTAAGAAATGGGGCCACAAAGTGGAGTCCACGACATGCGAGTGTGGAGAAGAGCAAACCACAGACTACGTATTACAATGCAGTCTGAGCCGTGCCAATTGCACAAAGGAGGGACTTCTTGTAGCAGTACTAGACACTCCAAGTGGCCAGCTACTGGTCAAAGGAAATTTAATATAATGCTAAGTTTTTAAACTTTGTGTTTTTTGAAATACAACTGTAGCCTTGGTTCCCTCTTGATACAATAAATAAATAAGCTAGCAGAGAAACTAAATAGATCCTAAATTGGGCCTGTATCACCAAGTTATGAATACAAAGCAAAGAAAAACAGAACAGACTCTCCGTTAACTGGAACTCAAGCAAATAAAACTCCCAAGCAACCGGCAAAGATGAAGAAATAATACTTTAAATAAAAAGGCTATTTTCATAATTCTTTGTTACATTGAGTTAAGTTTGTATCTTTTTGTGTTAATTTGTTTTCCATTACTATATTTCAGTAATTGAGTATATGGTATGGTATAATATGGTGTATAGTACTAGGCCTATTTTTCATGGTAACTCTCAAGCAACCAGATACTACATTTATTTGGGAACCACCAATCCCAATTTGTGCCAGTTAACTGAAATCCCACTGTACCCAGGTTTAACATAATTGAAGACTGAACTGCTCCAAACAGTTTTCCAACAGACCTCACAGCCTCTAAGGATGCCTGCCACTGAAGTGGGTGAAACGTCAGGAGAGAATGCTTCTGAAACATGGCCATACAGCCTGGAAAACTCACAGCAACCCAGTGATTCCAGCCATGAAAGCCTTTGACAACACATAGTTTTTCTTCGTTTATTTATCTAGACACCTTTATAGTTTCACTTATACTTAAACCAGAACCAGTCTTGATACTTTTCATCATTCATTATGCCTGAGGCTGTTAGGAATTGTGGGAGTTGAAGTCCAAAACACCTGGAGGGAGGACCCAAGCTTCCCCATGCTTGTGGTATATAGTATTAGGTCTATTTTTAATCACAACTCTCTAGCAACCAGAAACTCCATTTATCTACCAATCAGCATTTGTCTTCCAATCCACATGGATGCCAATTAACTGAGAGTCTACTGTAGCAGTTCCCTGGACTAGGATGAACTGAAGCGCAGGGAAGAAAGAGGATTGGGCCAGCTAATCGCCTCCCAACAAAGGATTCCCCCAGGCAGGCATGTAGCCGGGGGAGGGGGGGGGCTTGAGGGGCTGAAGCCCCCCCCCCCCGAAATTCTCATGGTGGTTTGCGAAAAGGCCTTACTGGTGCATTATTTAAACTGTTATGTTTATTCATATCATGATCTGATCACCATACTCAATATATCCCATATGCATGGGGGTATTGGGGTAATGATACAAAAGGTTTGCTAGGCTAGACCCTCTTTCACTAAGACTCAGCCCCCCCCCCGAAACTCAGCCCCCCCCCCGAACCCCCCTGAAAAAAATTCAGCCCCCCCCCAAAAAACACGAAATCCTGGCTACGGGCCTGCCCCCAGGCAAGAAACAGCCAAGCCTTGAAGTTGCAAAGCTATTAAATGCTCATCAAGGTGATCAATTGCAACATTCACACTTAGAATCATAGAGTTGGAAGAGACCTAGTGGGCCATCCAGCTCAACCCCCTGCCAAGAAGCAGGAAAATTGCATTCAAAGCACCCCCGACAGATGGCCATCCAGCCTCTGTTAAAAGCCTCCAAAGAAGGAGCCTCAACGACTCAAGCAGACAAGAGTTTTTCCTCCCACCCTGGACATTCCACAGGTATAGGAACCCCACTTGCCTAGTTTCCAGCAGACCCCTCAACCTCTGGGGATGCCCGCCATAGATGCAGGTGCAATGTCAGGAGAGAATGCTTCTGGAACATGGCCATACACACAGCAACCCAGTGAGTCCGGCCATGAAAGCCTTCGACAACACATTGTATACGGTATATATCAGTCATGAGCAAACTTTGGCCCTCTCCAGGTGTTTTGGACTTCAACTCCCACAATTCCTGGCCTCAGGCCCTTTCCTTTCCCCCCTCAGCTGCTTAAGCTTTGGACTTCATCTCTGGATTTAGATCCCTTGGCAGGAGCGGCTTAAGTGGCTGAGGGGGAAAAGGAAAGGGCCTGAGGGCAGGAATTGTGGGAGTTGAAGTCCAAAACACCTCGAGAGGGCCAAAGTTTGTCCATGCATGGTCTATAGCAGTTTCCTGGACTAGTACAGGGAAGAAAGAGGGCTGGGAAAGGGTTTTTTTTCCCCCTGAGTGCCAGTGGTTCAGCAGTGGAATTCTCTGCCCTGGAGTGCGATGGAGGCTCCTTCTTTGGAAGCTTTTAAACAGAGGCTGGATGGCCATCTGTCAGGGGTGATTTGAATGCAATATTCCTGCTTCTTGGCAGGGAGTTGGACTGGATGGCCCATGAGGTCTCTTCCAATTCTTTGATTCTATGATTCTATGGTATTTTTTGTCGTGTCAGGAGCGACTTGAGAAACTGCAAATTGCTTCTGGTGTGAGAGAATTGGCCGTCTGCAAGGACGTTGCCCAGGGGACGCCCGAATGAATAACGAAGCCTTAGACTTCATCTCTGGATTCGGATCCCCATTGAGCCGCGGAGTCCCATTGGGTGACCTTGGGCAAGCCGCACTCTCTCAGCCTCAGGGGAAAGCCTAAGGAAACCCCTTCTGAACAAAACCGAACCAAGAAAACAAGTCGGAAAGACACAAAGGCGGCTTTGGGGCATGTGAGCCGCCTCTCCCTCCACAGCGACGCTAACCAGGAGGATCCCACTTCCAAACAGGCGGAGAGAGGCACCTCCGTGGAACACCGTGCGAAGCGGCACGTCTGAAACAGGCGTCACGTGTCTCTCAGCACAGGAGAGCGCCTCTCGAGTGTGATTAGTATTCCGGAAGAAGAAGGGCCAGAGGAGGGGAGGGCGGTGCTGGGGGAGACCAAACTCTGCAGGGAACCCCGAGGGCTGAGAGGAGAGGGGCAGACCCAGTTTGGGGTAGGGAAGGGGGGGGTTGGGGGGAGAGAAGGCCTTTCCTCTCCTTGCCTTGCCTCCCTCTCGGCCTGTTTACATAACCCCAGCCCCAGAAACCCGCTGCTGGAGACCTTGCGCCTGGCAGGAGGGGCTCAGTCCGGAGCCAAAGGCCGCCTTTGGATGGTCCTCCGTGGGGAGGAGGGGACTGGGCGGGGGGTCGGGGGCCCGGAGCCGGGAAACGGGGTCGCCCGGACTGACCTTGAGCCGCAGCGGCGCCTCTGCTTTGCTCGGCTGCTCCTGCTGCTGCTGCGTCCTCTCCTCCTCCTCCTCCTCCTCCTCCTCCTCTTCTTCTCGCAGCGCGCCCTCTGGGGAGGAAGCAGCCCTTCCGCGACCCACGGAGCCTCCAGCCCACGCACGAGAGGGCGAGGGGAAGGGAGGGGGCTCAGGCTCACGTGGGAAGGCAGGCAGGCAAGGCGGGGGAGCCGGGGAGCATCCGCATCGGCCGGCCTCCTCCTCCGCCTCCTCCTTTTCTTCCTTCTCCTCCTGCTCAAGGGCGCAGGTGCGAGGCGAGCACTGGTCCAGGGAGACCCGGTTACGCGCGACGTGGGCCTCTCTCTCTCTCTCTCTCTCTCTCTGGGAGCGTGGTGTCCCGCTCCGAAAGGCTTGTGTTCCCTCGCCCTCGCGTCCCCACGCAGCGCGCGAGCAGAACGGAACGTGTTTCCCTCCGGCACGCAGAGAAAGAGCCAGGCATCAGCGCTGGGCCCGCATCTCCACCATCCAACTGCCCATGCCTTTCCGACAATGCATCTTTTCCAAAACACAGTCGTGCAGAGGTTAATCTGGGGCAAACTTTGGCCTCGAGCTAAGGCAGGCCTGGGCCAACTTGGGCCCTCCCTCTAGGTCAGGGGTCACTAAGGACCATCAGAAAACACAGTACTCTCTGTTGGTCATGGGGGTTCCATGTGGGAAGTTTGGCCCATTTCTATCATTGGTGGGGTTCAGAATGCTCTTTGATTGTAGGTGAACTATAAATCCCAGCAACTACAACTCCCAAATGTCAAGGTCTATTTTCCCCAAACTCCTACCAGTATTCACATTTGGGCATATTGAATATTCGTGCCAAGTTTAGTCCAGATCCATCATAGTTTGAGTCCACAATGGTCTCTGGATGTAGGCGAACTACAACTCCAAAACTCAAGGTCAATGCCCACCAAACCCTTCTAATGTTTTCTGTTGGTCATGGGAGTTCTGTGTGCCAAGTTTGGCCAATTCCATCGTTGGTGGAGTTCAGAATGCTCTTTGATTGTAGGTGAACTATAAATCCCAGCAACTACAACTCCCAAATGACAAAATCAATCCCCCCAACCCCATCATTATTCAAATTTGGGCATATCAGGTATTTGTGCCAAATTTGGTCCAGTGAATGAAAATACATCCTTCATATCAGATATTTACATTACGATTCATACCAGTAGCAAAATTACAGTTATGAAGTAGCAACAAAAATAATTTTATGGTTGGGGGTCACCACAACATGAGGAATTGTATTAAGGGGTCATAACATGAGGAAGGTTGAGAACCACTGCTCTAGGTGTTTTGGACGTCAACTCCCACCATTCCTCATAGCCTCACAGCTTAAGCGGCTGAGGGTGAAAAGGAAAGGTCCGGAGGCTGTGAGGAATAGTGGGAGTTGGTCCAAAACATCTGTGTGCCACAACATGTGGGTTGGAAAGCTGTACACTCACCATTGAATCAAATTGGTATTGAAGAAAGTGGCTTCGCAGTGCAGGTTTACACAGGAAATCCTGGAACCCATTTGAGGCCTGGATGATGATGATGATACAAACCACAGAGCACTGATGTGCACAAAGGGATTTATTTCACACACTTTTGTAAGAATGTATTGTCGAAGGCTTTCATGGCTGGAATCACTAGGTTCTTGTGGGTTTTTTCGTTTCACCTGCATCTATGGCAAGTATCCTCGCTACCTCTGAGGATGCTTGCCATAGATGCAGGCGAAACATCAGGAGAAATGCCTCTAGAGCATGGCCCTATAGCCCGAAAAAACCCACAAGAACCTACTTTTGTAAGAGTTTGTTGTCTGGCCACCACGGCTTGAAGCTAACTTCAAACTGCATGAAATGGTCAGTGTAGATAGGTCATAGTTTTATTTTATCCTAACACTTGTTGGAGTATGTGGGCATTTCTCCAACTCAAAACCGATTGCTGTATGCAGTCCTCATGGGATAATATGTTATTTGTTCTAAATGGATTCAAGTTGTTCAGAACCAGCCACGTCCCATCTGCTTTCTCACATCAAGAAGCCTCCAGGACAAAGGGATGCTTTCGCTCAATTTTATTTTATTTATTTAAAGCTTTTATATTCCGCCCTTCTCACCCTGCAGGGGACTCAGGGCGGATTACAGTGTACACATATATGGCAAACATTCAATGCCAATTTTAACATACAACATATACAGACATACACAGAGGCTATTTAACTTTTTCTGGCCGCCAGGGGAGCTGTCGCTTTATAAGCACTATAAACTCTTCACTAGCTGTGAATTGTAAAGGTTCATCTACGTCCATCTACGATGCTGATGAAGCACTTCCGCATTCCCGCATGCTTCCCCGCTGGAATGCTGTGCTGGAGTCTTCTTTATGGCCTCATAAATCAGTTAATTTAGCCTCCCCACACTTTAAGGTGGTACCTTATTTTCCTACTTGACAGATGCAACTGTCTTTCGGGTTGCAAAGGTCGACAACAGGCTACACACAATTGGTTGGAAACCCACTCCAACCTGGGCTGGCTTCGAACTCATGACCTTTTGGTCAGAGTGATCTTAATGCAGCTGACACTCAGCCAGCTGTGCCACAATCCCGGTGCCATTCTATACAGTGGTATAGTAAAATTGTGTCTTTTATATAAAATGGCAAAATCAAGGTTTAATCTTGTGATTTAAAAATATTTTCAAGTCATAAGATGGTTGAATTTCTGGATACAGAAGGCCAACTGTATGTACATCAGTAATGCCCTCACTGTCACCGCAACGTGTTGCTTCTGGCTGTGTGGTGAGAATACACTGCTTTCAGATTATTCACACAAATTTTAGCAAGTTGACAACATGTAGTTTCAGGGGAATTAGTCAGTCTAGTTCAAATCACTCAAGTCACAAAAGATGATTCTCACAAGCAATCTGTTTGAAGCTTGCAGAATCTCTCTGGAGTAGGGTTGCCAGTTCAAAATTATTCCATGCCCAGAGCTTTCTAAGACAAAAGCACCAGCCACAGTTGACACCTAGTGATAGAAAATAAGCATTATGCATTAAGTTTAAACCACAGGTGCTCACAGCTTGTCATTTAGACACACAGAGAATCTATTTTCCCATTTGGAAATTAAGACATAATTATTAGCTAAAGAGGCTGTTTCCAGATCAAGATAAAATGAGATTCTTCCTCCTCATTTGGGAAGACTTAATGTAGACTAATTGGTTGCAGGACTTCTGAACATATCTAAAATGTGTAAAGCCAGCTACAAGGGAGGAAACTGACCAGAAATAAATTGTGATAGGTTCACTTTGGTATCATCAGTTGATTTGAAAGCACACAACTGCTTGTAACCAGAAGGTGGAAGAAAAGCCCAGTGCAGAATAAGCCCTGGTGCTGAAACTGGGAGGGAACAATGTTATGGCCAGTTTCAGTTTTTATAATAAGGCGCATTGTCTTATTATTGAAGCCCCCCCCCCCCCGCGCGCTCCTTGTGTCTGCAAAACCTTTGAGAAAAGCTGAAGACAGCAGAGGGCTCAGCTCCTCTTTGCCACCCCTTTTCATTTTAAAGTTAGATTACTTCATACTGCTCTTGATGTGACTGGACCAATTCTATGTGGTTGAAAACAGTTTGACTAGTTTGATCCTCAGTACTGGGAAACCGAACTCATGGAGAGAGATTACCACTCCTGCTGTAATGTAGATCTGTCAGACCCTTTTCATGTTTTTCAGCTACTCTATTGCACAATAAGTTAAACCCTTGTGCCGGCTAAACTGCTGGCCTGAAGGTCAGTGGTTTTAATCTATGAGATGGGGTGAGCTCTCACCTGTCAGCTCCAGCTTCCCATGCAGGAACATGAAAGAAGTCTACCACAGGATGGTAACACATCCACGCATCCCCTTGGCAACACCTCTGTAGACGGCCAATTCCTTCACACCAGAAGCGGCTTGCAGTTTCTCAAGTCACTTCTGATACGATTAAAAAAAGCTACTCTATTTTCTTAGACATGGAATATTCTTAGGCTTGTCTGTTCCTTCCTCTGAAACAGTGTAACTTTAAGCTACACAGTTAAGGTAAGATTGGTCTAGATGAGAATAGTGGGCTTAGCAGGTATCTATAATATTGCTGATGCTAAGAGATTGTATTTTGACTAATTATATAAGTGGAAAGGAGCCCCCAGTGGCGCAGTGGGTTAAACAGCTGAGTTGCTGAACTTGCTGACTGAAAGGTCGCAGGTACGAATCCGGGGAGCAGCATGAGCTCCTGCTGTTAGCCCCAGTTTCTGCCAACCTAGCAGTTTGAAAACATGCAAATGTGAGATCAATAGGTACCACTCTGGCGGGAAGGTAACGGCGCTCCATGCAATCATGCCAGCCACATAACATTGGAGGTGTCTATGGACAAAGCCGGCTCTTTGGTTTAGAAATGGTGATGAGCATCAACTCCCAGAGTCTGACATGACTGGACTTAATATCAGGGGAAAACCTTTACCTTTACCTATAAGTGGAAAGCTTCACGATATGCCAATTTAAATGGGGAGGGAGAGAAGGGGAATTTGAATCAAATGTATTTTGTCAAATGTACTTATTGGCCAACAGCCATACTGGCTCAAATTGATCATGATTGTAATTCTATAATTTCCACAGAGTTTAAGAAAGAGAAGATAAATAATCCCTTCCCCCACCCCAAATAACACTGCATTGCATCATATGCTTTACTAAAACATAAACAAATGCATTTCTCATTGTTTAGAAAACCATTTTTTATGTGAGGAGACTGTATCTTGGCCCTTTATGATGTTCAAGGATACCAGTAATAAAATATCAAGAGTCAACTTATAAGTTATATATTACATGTTTATTATAGGGTGCATTTTTCTTTTACATTTTGTGAAGGATCAAAGATATTTACAATTTTCTAAGATTTATATTGCTCTAATTTACAGTTCATAGAAATCTCGACCTTTAAAGTCAGGTTTACACATTCTCTCAGGAGGCAGCTACAAAGAAAATCATTTTATAAACAGGCAAGGTCCAGCTTGCAACATGCAATTTTCTTTAGATACATGTATTTTTATACAGGTTTTAGATTTCTTTACAAAAATTCTATATAAAATTTTATGGCTTCAAAATTGTAACCTGCACCCTTTGTAAATGTATGTTTGAGAACACTAGGTATGAAGGCTAGATAAAAGTGCTGAAAATTAGCATTTGCACTAATTTAGAAATAATACACGATTAAATTGAATGATGTAATTCAAATGTTCGATAGTAAGGTATTAAACTGTTCATACAGTTTTGATTGCATTAGCAGATTACAATTAAGAGTCCAGCAAAACTGTACCATTTGAAAAGCCAATCCTCTAGTTAAAGGTTCTAGTAATAACTCAGTTAAGACTAAAATGGTAGAATATGAAAATCCAATATATATATGAAATCTAGTTAACAGCTTTATAAGACAATAAAACCAAGAAGAGGTAAACTAATTTTTAACTGCAATCTTACAAACAGTTACAATTATGCAGTAAATTGGTACTAGACTGAAATATCCAATCCAGAACTTTTTAAATTTTGGGTGCATTTTAGTTTAATTTGGACACCTAAAATGTTATCCAAATTAGATTAAAATATATGAGACTGATCTTCAAAAATTTTTAGTGGGGAGATGGATTTGCCATTAAAAACAAGGTGGTATAAGCTTATCCCTTCCTTTTAAACAGAAAAAAACCCCTTTCTGCCATTGGTCAAAAGGGGATAATCTTTTTATCCCCCAAGAATACTTTCAGAAACAATTGTCATGATGAAGCATTGTTCTTATCATTCTGGACCCAATTAGAAGGAAATGTTACTAGATTGCTCAAAACAACTACACGGCTGATTGACATGGTGCCAAACATTGATCTGGCTTCTTTCTTTCTTTTTTAAGAAAAGCATCAGCTACCTACTCTTGAAGAGTAGGCCCATAACTCTGCTCCAAAATATTTCAATTAAGCCTGTCTCAAAGCCTTACTTTTTGATGTTCATATAGTCCTACAAAAGATGGCCAGGGGATATTCCAGGCATGAGCAAACTTCGGCCCTCCAGTAGGCTGTTAGGAATTGTGGGAGTTGAAGTCCAAAACACCTGGAGGGCTGAAATTTGCCCATGCCTGGGATATTCAGTCCAATACATTCTTCTTAAAATAAATAGAACACAACACAGCCTTTTTACTGTGCTAACATTCACCACAGGGATTCTATATACATTATATATATATAATTGATTGATGAGTCCATTACTGATGTTACAAGGGTCTTACAATTATTACTTTTATTATATGCCTTATTTATACTGGAATTCAGATATCTCACCTTTGTACAGTTGCTGGTTTTATAATTTAACAACTTTTGATTTTGAGTGTTTAATGAGATCCTAAGATTAATACACCATACGTTGTAATATATAGCAATTGGTATTAATAATGATGCCAATGGGTCACTGTGTTTAAAATTCGACAAAGACGCTAGATATGAATCCAAACATTCTAATCATTAATTTATTCATGTTGTTAAATTTAAAGTGATTTTTGTTCTGCCCAAAACATTTAAAAGATGTTACTCCTCAAAAACAACGGTTATATTCATATATGTTTGAAAGCATGTGAAATAGCAAAACTACAGTCAGCAAAGGAAAGTTCTACAAATGTTGTTATACAAATTATTGTTTTACACCTTCAAGATTTTACACATCTTTGGTGATACTGCAGTTAAATTTTGATAAAAAGCTTTTTTCCTGTGATTCTATCAAAGCATTGCTTTTCCCTTTACAGTGGCTGCATTTATTGCTATTAACCCCCAAAGGAAGCCATTTAATATTTTAAAAGATAGTTTGGTAGTTATTATGAATTTCCCTTCTAAATCCTTGCCAGGGATTTATCTAGCTCCACAAGCTAAAGGGGGAAAAAACCCAAGGTTTTCTGAGTGAAAGATCTTGAAACTGCAGGAAGAAATGAGAGGCACATAAACAGTTTGGCAGGCACAGTTTAAAAAGGCACAAAAGTTACATATTCCATATAAAAATAAATTAAATCTACAGCATTAATTAAAATTACAACTCCTATAAAGTTAACTAATGGTAGAAGTAAATATCTCTGTTGTTGCTTGCATTTTTTAAATTGCACTTTACATTTTTAAAACAATATTTTATAAATCAATGTACATTTAATTATATACGGTATATGGAGATCAAGTTATTTATATATATATATCCATAACAAGATATGGCACATAAATACAGTAGAGTGAAACAAAAATTACTTTGCCACTTTTTTTTGTATATGGAATGGCAATAATGCAAACTGGAAAAAATATACTTCAGTATTTATAGAAAGCTAAAATATATGCTGCGGTTGTCTACAGAGTCATAAAGCACCTCATGTTTTAAATACCACAAATTACTTTTATTTTGGCTCAGACACTACAAGAATACTATGCATCTGAATAATCTTGTTTCCCAATAATGTAGCCCATCTTCTACAGATAGTGTTTGAGTTTGCTTCAGTGCTATTATGAAATAGAGTATTTTTAAATTATGTGTTTTTAAAAAGTGCATTTTTGTTGGGTATAAAAATTAAGCAACATATTTTCAAAAATTAATGCATGTTAAAATAGTGTTGGGAAGGTAGTAAAAGAATGAGTTTCTATCCATTGAGAAAATTATTTTTCTTCACAGGCTCTTCACCAGTCTGCCATATATCGTCCTAAAAGACACAAACAAGTTTGCAATTAATATATCTTTGGAAGCACATTAGAATTTAAAACAGTCAAACTGATTGCTGTTACTCATAATTATATTGTTTGTATTAATTTTATTCAAAAGTAAGAATAGGTAATGTTGCATTTTTAATCATATTTTCACTTCACTAGAGAAAATTTGCCACTGCACTTTGATAAACCTGAACTGCAGAGGTGTACACAGAGGCCAAATGAACAAGACCAGTTACTGAGGTAGACAACCTTAATGTTGATTTGTTAATGATTTGGTCACAAATGCTAGTCCTTCCAATTGTGGATCTGTTTGTTAATGTTTGTACTGTGTATAAAGCAGTGGTCCCAACCTTTTTTTCACCAGGGAAAACTTTACAAGGTACCACTTGAACAAGAACCACTTTGACCAGGCACCACTCTCCAACATTAGTACCAAAAGGGTTACAAATCAGTTTTTGGTCAACTTTAGATTTGGTTTGGTTATTTGGGATGATGATTCAGAAAACTGCATTGGATAATAGACCACATCATCTCTAGTTTCTGATACAGAATATATGCCATCCATCAGTTGCCATCTGCTCACTCACAGAAAACCATGTTTAATAATCTAGAGCTGATGCAGTTGTAGTAATCTTTTGTGGTTAGTCAGCCTCTGCCGTCCTGACATCCCTGTTGCCTCGGCACTATAAGAGGGTTTTGGGAGATGAGTTGCTCTCGTTGCTGCGTGGTTTTGAGGCAACGGTGTAGTAATGGTGAGGCTGTGGACCATACTTTTGTTCTTAGGGACCACCACTGGTATAAAGGAACACTGCACTGCAAAACTAAAATGTTTGCGTAAAGTTGAAGACTGGTTAATTCATTTTGTAACACTGAAGAGCATAATCCAATTTTTTTTTTATTGCCACAAGCTTTTGGGATCTGACTTTCTAAAGAGTGAACCTATAAGAGTGGATTGTATTAGATGGTTGAGAGATCACTGCCGGGCGTCTGGTTGAGAACTATTTGTATTTGGGCTTTCCTGGTCCACACCAGCCCAATGACCTCATTTGACTACATCACCAACCCACAGTTTTGTGGACCCTTGCTGGCTGTTGTGCATTAATGTGGATGTTTTGTTTAGATTTATGTTATTATAGAATTTTGTCCGATTACGTGTAGTTTAATTTATTGCTGTCAGGTTTAATTTACTGATATTAGGTCTTAATTTGATGCTAGGTTTTAATGTTACTTTTATATGTGGGGGTTTTCTGGGATTTTATGTCAGTATCATGTGTTTTATGTAGGCAATGAATGTTTGCCATTGTTATGTTGGAATCTGCCCTAAGTCCCCTCTGGGAGATAGGGTGGAATACAAGTAAAGTTGTTGTTGCTAAATTGCTTAAATCTTTGTTATTCTGATGGATGTTTTAAATTGTTTTTAATGGTATAGACCGTTAATCGTAATCTTCTGTGGATTTTATCTACATTACTTTTGTTTTAATGCTATAAGGAATACCAAATCCCAGTTCTGAATGTACATTTGGAAAATATATCTGAATGCCCTACCAGCAGGTTACGAACAGGATAGGTTCTGTAAGTTCATTCTTAAGATGAAGTTGTATGTAAATTGGAACAGGTATGTTTTAAATACAACTCCACCAATTTTTTTAAATTTAGATAGCATAGGGAAGGGTTAACACCCCTGTGATGTTGGCTTTGCTGTCTGTTCAGATTTCACCTCACTTTTTGTCCCTGTGACACTTGCATTTTGAAGATTTTGGGTTGGTATGAAAACAAGGATTAGTGATAAAAGCTTCAGTGGAGGCACCTTTTCCCCGTGATAATTCTTTCAGGAGTGAATTTCCCTTCCTGGGGTAGATTTCCTCTCACTTCTTGCTGTCTCACCCCTTTTGTAAGACAGATGTTTGTAACTTGGGGACTGCCTGTAAAAATGCAAATTGGTCCCATGGTCTATCATTTTTTGTCTTACCAGTGGCAAACCTCTTCTTAATTAGGGAAAGTCGATAGCCAGTGCCTACTAATTCAACATCTACTCCTGAAAGAGTGCTTCCCTCACTGATAAATTGCACTGCAAGTGTTGCTGGTTTACTGGGTCCTTCTGAAAGGTCAAATTTTGCTCTGAGGGAACCGGAACCTGTTCAAATAAAAATAAGGGGAGCATGTGTTAAAGACCATTCAAATAGTTTGTAAAATGTTGGCAGACATTTGGAGAATATTTTGGCCATCATTCAATACAGGTATATGCATATCAGTGAATGAAAAAGAAAGACTATACATAGTAGAACAATCAGGAAAGGAGTTATGTAGTCTCAAAGCAATGTTCCAACAAGGCCCTTGCTGTCTTCCAAGTTTCTCTCCTTACACTTGCACTAGTAAGCAGTTTTATTAGACTTCTTGCACACAGCTTTTTGTAAAGCTAAAACTGGGTCTTTATTGGCTGAAAAGACCCTTTCTAGATTAGCTATCTAAATTCTCTATATATTGCTCACTGATACTACAAATGATATACAGGTACAATGTGTAATGTGATAATGTGTAAATAATGTAATTTTTAAAATATAGTATTTGAGGTGATAAAACCCCCCTGTTTAACAACCTTGAAAATTGTATAAGGGATATGTCTTGATTTGTTAACAATAAGGTACAAATAAATATTGGGCCTTATAGATCAGTATGATTCAAATTACAGGTAATTTCTTTTGCATGAACAACCTCTAAAACAGTGTTGATTAAAGTGTTTAATACAGATGAGAACACAAGAAACTAAGTGTGTTTTGGTTTTCCACTGGTTACTTTCGAAATTGAGACAAAGAGGCAACGTATCACTATTTTTCTTATACTTAAATGTAATACTTTAAAATCAATTCTTACCTCCATTTTCTGATTTTTCTGAAATACCAGATAATTTCCAAAATGCTTTCATCTGTTCTGAATTCCTGTATGAAAAGGGGTAGTTACTCTAAATGCAGTATTCAGAAATACTGCTATACTAGTTCCCAAGTGACCTTCAAAATAGTTAAGAGTAGACTTTTATGCATTCAAATATTCAGTGAGATTGGGTTGTTGTGAGTTTTCCAGGCTGTATGGCCATGTTCCAGAAGCATTATTTCCTGATGTTTCACCTGCATCTATGGCAGGCATCCTCAGAGGTTGTGAGGTCAGACCTAACAACCTCTGAGGATGCCTCTCATAGATGCAGGTGAAACGTCAGAAGAAAATGCTTCTGGAACATGGCCATACAGCCTGGAAAATTTACAACAACCCAGTGATTCCAGCCATCAAAGCCTTCAACAGCATATTCAGTGAGATTTCTTTCCATGTACAGCAGTGGTTCTCAAATTGTGGGTCCCCAGGTGTTTTGGCCTACAACTCCCAGAAATCCTAACAGTTGGTAAACTGGCTGAGATTTCTGGGAGTTGTAGGCCAAAACACCTGGGGACCCACAATTTGAGAACCACTGCTGTACATGGAAAGAAATCTCACTGAATATGCTCCCAGAAATCCTAACAGCTGGTAAACTGGCTGAGATTTCTGGGAGTTGTATGCAGAAACACCTGGGGACCCACAGGCTGAGAACCTCTGATGTACAGTATTTGACTGTAGACTAATCTACGAGCACCAAGATGCTGAGAGCCAATAAAAGCTATTTGAACCTTCCCCAAAGCCTTTCTGATTTAGAAAAGCATGTCTCCCACCAATGTTTTGTGTCATCCTATAGGATCAACTGATAGGATAGAAATTTAAGACAGAAATAACATGTTAGCAATGAACAAGGGTCCATGAACCACTGTTACAGGATGAGCCAAAAGTCACAAAGGGATTTCAATATTTAACAACTCCTTTTTAAAAGTTATATCTTACAATACCATAACATCATATATAGTATATACAGGAAATTAATGTACATTATGGGTAAAATACTTTACATTTCCACCCAAAAAGGTATTAAAACATCAGACCCCATCAGATATCTCAACTGTTGTGGACTCTCTGAGTATTTTAATCTTGAGGGCATACAATGTTATTAGTTTTAATGTGTTTTTTTACCAGAACAGAACTATATGATGGCCAGAACAGCTAAAAGATGCAATCCTTCTTAACGAACTCTTTAGTCTAATACCTTGAAATGTTTATTTGGGCATTTCTATATTGCCTTTTTACAACAGTAGGTAAAACATAGCAGTATAAATAACACATTAAAATAATCACAAGTCAGTCCTTGTCAGACATAAAAATGATCAAAACTGATAAAAGCACTCTAAAATGCCTAGAAAGTTAAAATATAATTATAAAGTGCAGGTCCTAGACTTCTATCACCTTAGTTAAAAGCTATTCCACATAGGGAAGTTTTCAAGTTTTTTTTCTAAAGACCAAGAGGGTGGGGGCTGCTTTTATTGCTTCTAGCAAAACATTCCAAAGTTTTGCCCGAAGCAAAGTTTTGCCGGAACCCAAGAATGTGCTATCGCTAGCCAATTTTAAATAACAACTGTCCCTAAGCTGAGTTGATGGGACTGTTTCACTACTTGATCTTAATAATTTACCCATCCTAACATTCACTACTTAATCTTAACAATCTTATGTCCATTTAATCCAGAAGTGCATTGCAGATAGAATTATGCTCTCTAACTTAACTGCCTTCCTATTATCCTTAAGGAAGCGTAAACCAGGAGTTCCTAAAAGTAGACATGTGTTTTTTTGGGGAGTTTTTTTTGTTGTGTCAGGAGTGACTCCTGGTGTGAGAGAATTGGCCGTCTGCAAGGACGTTGCCCAGGGGACGCCTGGATGATTTGATGTTTTTATCATCCTTGTGGGAGGCTTCTCTCATGTCCCTGCATGAGGAGCTGGAGCTGATAGAGGGAGCTCATCCGCCTCTCCCCGGATTCGAACCTGCGACCTGTCGGTCTTCAGTCCTGCCGGCACAGGGGTTTAACCCACTGCACCACCAGGGGCTCCTGTAGACATGTGTGATTAACATTGAAAACAGAGAAGAGTAAGAATGCTTTTCACCAAAGTTTTTACAAGCATACAGGAATGAATGTCATAGAGTATTCAACAATCAAAAGTTACCATTTTGCTGGAGGAAGCGACTGCATATTCATTACACCTCCATCAACTGGTACCACGACCTGTATATTAGACAGCATACTTGGCGCTGCCATAGATGCTGGGTTGTATTTGTAATCAACTCTTACATCAGTAGTGTTTGCGTTGCACTTCCAGTATGTGGCGAGATTCAAAGGTGTAGACTGGATGCCATTTGAAGATACCTTTGCAAACAAACATACAACCATCATAGTGAGAATTCAGTTTCCATCACAATAAATAACTTTGGGCCCAAGGGTATAAAGAGCCCAACAGGTTCTTTTTATCAACAAGAAATTATACACATGTTTACATTATCTACACAGAAGACTGTTAGTTGCTGTGCTAGATAACGAAAAAGAGAGAATTATGATTATGATCTTTATTTATATCCCGCCTTTCTCCCCATGGGGACTCAAAGTGGCTAACAACTATCCATTCACGCTAAACATTCTAAAATTAGGAGTTTTTCAAATTTATTCTATTTACAAGTTCACAATTCTATTTAAAAGTTCACTGGTTGCTGGTTCATTTTTAGGCTCAATTCAAAACTGCGGGTCATTATTTCTGAACCTCTAAATTCAGAGGTGGATATCCAGATACTGGATAACTTCCATCATCCCTGACAACTGGCCACATCAGTGAATTGGCTGGGAGTTAAGAGTCAAATGTTATCTATCTTATCTGCTGCTTAGTCTGTTTTCTTAATTTGCTTTAACTGATTGTTTTCAATGTTTGATGGTGACAGCATTCACAGATGTTTCATTTGAAACTGAGAAATAGGAATAAATAAACAAAGCTAGTATTGAAAACATTTCTTTTGAAATCAGTGTGTCTACATTTCAGCAGAAGACACTGGCAAAACCACTGCTGACTATTACTTGTCTAAAAACCCTATGGAATTCATGGAGTTGTCATTAGTTTACTTGTGATTTGAAGGTACAGACACACACTCAAATTTCATGATGACTTCTGCAAAACATCTTTAAACTGAAACAATTTGTCAACATACAAAAATTATCCATATTACTGACAATATATCAATGCTTCTCTTATAGGAAGCGTCTATATATTAACACTCTCCTTCAGCTTCTAGTACTATTTTTTAAGGTTTGAGTTTTTAAAATGTTATCACCTGATACTTAAGGACGTCCACATTATAATAAGAAGCAGAGGGATTCTGTTCTGATAGTTTCTTGAGGTAGACTGTGACAGCTTGCATGTCCATCCAAAAATCCCTTGTATTGGAATCACTTTGTGATGGATCACTGTGTGTAAAAGTTAGAAATGAGCACACCAATTTTAAGTTCCCTTACATATTCCAGATTCAAAATGTTATGGCTTATATCCACATGCTTCTGCAAATTTTCGTAACAAGGAACAATACAGTGAAAAATCTTTTAATATAAGCAAATGATGTAATATAATATCGTATAAATCTTAATATAGATTGTACGAAAAGTACTAGAACAAGAAAAGTTTGAGAATAATTTAGAACTTCAAAAAAGCAATTTCTTGAGATTTCCCATATTAAGCATAGCACTATCAGATATCAATTGGCTCAAGGTTTTCATTCTGATTTTTGTTTGCTGCAAGAGAGTAAAAAGAAGGAAGGTAAAGCCATCTCTTGCCCTTTGTTATTAACAAAAAAAATTAAATAGCACTTGAGGAAGGATATAACTGTGCCAAACTTCTGCAGGAATTAAACATTTGCTCTTAAGTTGACTATCTGGCCTCCCTTATTGAGTGAAATTGTTGAGATATATGTTTCAAATAAACCAAAATAATATTTTATCTATGTTATTGTTAGCTAACTTCTCTCAGGTCCTATTTACTAAATCAAAAACCAAGTGCAGATCTATAACAGCTAGAAACAATTGTTTAAAAGGTCACTGTATGGTATTTAAATTAAGTGATGCAGGATAAAACACTGATCAATTGTATTATGATCTTTGCAAAAGCCTACCTGAGCTTCATGAAATATATTATGTTTTATTTATTTATTTATTTTTATTTATTTACTGTCTTTATATCCCGCTCTTCTCACCTTGAAGGGTACTCAGAGCGGCCTTACAATGGGTAATAATTCAATGCCACATAAAACAGACATATAATAAAATAAACTTATACATTAAAAATAAATAAATAAAACATATAAACATTAAAACCAATTATTAAAAACCACACATTCTGAAATTACAATCCTTCCAAGCTAATAATTTATAGAAGATATTTGGAATACAGTCCAGAGGCTACATCAAATAAACTAACCGGTCTGCAATTCTCAGGATCCTGGTGGTTAACTTTTTAAAATATAGGAATGAAGAGATAATACTATATGTGCGTATTCACAGCTAACCATGCAGGGAAAATATGCTTACACAGGTACAATAATTAGCAGCAAATGATATGACTACTAAATTAAGTTATCTGCGGAGCTGTTCATGCCTTAGCATGTTCCTTTCCATGTAACTTAAGAATACATTTTCATTACACTGGATAATATTCTCATTTATTCTCCTACGATTGGATAAGCATGTAAATGACTTGAAATACCCCATCATTTTTTTTGTTTTGGATAAGTTATATTTTATTTTCAATTGCACACAAGGAAATGCATTCATTTCTCTTTAGATTTCTCTTTTGAAATCTCACAGTACCAAGGCAACACTGTATGATTTAGAAGGCTACTTTGATAGTTTGCTGTAACTTAACTTCAATGCAACTATAACATCTCTAAAAGTAATGCAACAACCGATTTTAGAGTTCTGAAAAAGAGAATAAACCAAAATAGATAATGAAAAATAGACAACAAGACCAAATTCTACAAGGTTAAATACGCAATGAGAAAACATATACATGTATCATGAAACAAAGCATATGGTTTATGATTAGATTTAAAAAAATACAAAACCTGTATACAAGTTGGGCATTTGGAAGAATCTGCTCTAGTTTGCTTGTATTTTTTACCCTGAAGCAGAGCACAGCAGGAGATGGATTGCTGGTGAACACTTTAATAATCCCACTTGGAAATGAGACTGTCATATCACCAGTGATCTTCACAATACATCTAAAGAAAGATATGGAAATACAGATATTATTTATGCTGTATTCTGAAAAAATGGGAAAGAGAACAGAAAACTGTTTGTGGTGCACTGATAATACATTTTAATCATAGAACAATATTAGTTTATGTTTAATTTATTAAGTCTGATTTTTAAACCAAGTGAGATTGTAGCAGATAGACAAACAATACTCAAAAAGTCCTAAATATTTTAATGTAATACTGATAATACTGGTGATTTGCAGATTAGTCTGCAGACTCTCCAGAAAAAAAAAAAACAGTTGTGAGCAAAAATAAAGTAGCACATGTGACTAAAAAAAACAAAACATTAGTGGCCTTACAGAGATCTTAAAATACATTATCTTAGAGAATGATGCCCTCCTTCATTGAGCCAGTAAAACATGCTTTAAGCAGTATACTTTTTTGGGATGTTCAATCATCTTTAGCTTTGATAAGGACTTTTCACTGACCAGAATTAGGTGTCATGTGACCTTAAGTTCTAAACAGTCCCTCCCCCCATCTCTCTCTCTCACACACACACACAAAGTCTGCTGGTTCATAGACTTCAAGCAACTGAAATCACTGTTCCTCTGCTCTCCCCATGTTTTCTGGGGAGGCACAGAAGCACTACCCTAGCCTTACCAAAGATATTCATAATTTGACCAAACTGTCTCCATCTTGACCCTCAGTGCCATCATTTCCCACATCATTTCCCACATCAGAAGCACCGTGATCTTGAAACACAAACACAGGCTGAACTCCAACATTAATCCAGAATTTCATTTTGGTGCTCTCATTTGATAAATATGGTTTTATCAGCACAATGAACTACACAAAATGTGAATTATTTATCTTGGAAATGAATCCAAACTTGTCTGGAAACCCAGCAATAAAAGTCAGGGTAGGATCAGGATACAATTTTTATAATTCTTATTTAATAAATTAAAAAGATGCCAGGCCCACACTAAAGCACACTGTAAAGGATGAGATGTAGTGGACTTTGCTTTATATGTCAGCTAAAGTGATTGAGGATCCAAAAAAAAAAAAAGTCTACTGCACAAAGCATGTGTTTGATTCCACCTAAACATTAGGAAGAATTTCCTGATGTTAAGAGCTGTTTGGCAGTGGAACATGCTGCCTTGGACCCTTCTCTTCAGGTTTTTAAGCAGAGGCTGGATGGTCATCTATCTGGGGGTGCTTTGATTCTGTGTTCCCGCAAGGCAGGGGGTTGGACTGGATGGCCCTTATGGTGTCTTCCAACACATATGATTTACCCCTCCCCCAGGTAAAACACTCTCCCAAGATTTGAGGATCCTGCTGAATGAGATGAGCAAGACCACAAAGTACTTGAGAAAAATCTTTTTGAAAAAACCTCTATCAGTGGCGCTCCACTTAATTGAAATTATTTTGGTTCAATTTTCAAGAACTTCTCCATCCATGACTCTCTCCCAGCACTTCCCATCTTATTCAATGGGTTTTTCTGTCTTTTGGGGGGGGGGGGGGGGGGGGGGGGGGGGGAATCTGGATGGAGCTGCTGAGGGATTGGTTTTTGACAAACTTTTTCCATGCATTTTTCTTGCAGAGGCAGCGACTTTGTGCAAGCTCATAATACAATTGTCGTAAAAATTATTAATATTTTAATCAGCAACATATTTGTTCAAATACACCAAGAATAGCTCAAGTTTAATCATTTTTCATAGAGTAAAAAGGAAAGCCTAACCTGTTTTGTTTTCAATACAAGAAATAAAACTGCAAATAATTGTTTCACTGACTTTGTGGGATCTGCTCCTTTGAAGTAGGCGTTAACAGACTCAGTCAGGGCCACTGCAACAGGCAGTAAATCCTGGTTTCCAAGACTGACAGGACTAGGACCACGAGAAATTCCTAGGAAACATACAGTTCACAGGTATCAATCCTATTGTTAATTTCAAATGTAGATGGCTTGCTTTCTCGTTTTCATAAGCCATTTATTAAAGGACATATTAAAGGACACATCATGAGATGCATATTTGAACATATATAACTAGAATCACTGCAATTAAAATATATCACAAGTATTAAATATATTTTACAGCCCATTTCATTTCAAAATATGTCTACTGCATTATTTCAGGAAAAGTGACTTGCCCTTGAGCTAATAATCCAATTCCAAGTCTTGTTAGCTATACTATAGACCAGGGGTCCTCAAACTAAGGCCCGGGGGCCAGTTACGGCCCTCCAAGGTCATTTACCCGGCCCTCGCTCAGGGTCAACCGAAGTCTGAAACAACTTGAAAGCACACAACAACAACAACCCTATTTCATCAACCAAAAGCAGGCCCACACTTCCCATTGAGATACTAATAAGATTATATTTATTAAAAATTGTTCTTAATTATTATTATTGTTTTAAAGTGTTTTTTGCACTACAAATAAGATATGTACAGTGTGCATATGAATTCATTCATGTTTTATTTTTTCAAATTATAATCTGGCCCTCCAACAGTTTGAGAAACTGTGACCTGGCCCTCTGTTTAAAAAGTTTGAGGACCCCTGCTATAGACAGTGGTTGTAATTTGACTAAGAAGCCACCAATAAAAATAAAGTTTTACATTTTCACTTAAGATAGTAAAAAAAACAACAACCCCGAACTTAAATGCATAGTCTCTCTAAATGTGTTCCAATGTATGCTCGAATGAATCACATAATGAGCCCCCCACCCTGCTCTCTTCTACTGGCTTAGGACAGCAGCACACCATCACTGCTTTGACTCCTCTTAAAGAGGCACATTGCTTGCATAACCAACAGTTCATTCCATCCCAGAATGGTTCTGTTAAATTCTGTCACTTCTGTAAAAGTAAGATTATCAATCTGCATTAGAAGAAGAAGAAGAAGAAGAAGAAGAAGAAGAAGAAGAAGAAGAAGAAGAAGAAGAAGAAGAACTACTATTACTACTACTACTTTATTTTTCTACCCGCCTCCATCTCCCCAAAGGGACTCGGGGTGGCTTACATGGGGCCAAGTCCAAGGCAAAATACAATAAAAAAACAATAACAAATTAAAACAACATAAAACAGCATAAAACAACATAACAATAATAAACAAGCATCAAAAGCAACAGCAGACTAATTTTGGAGGCGGGAGGGAGGCGGGCCACTATGTGAACTGGTAAAGGATAAGGTGGATAGAAACGTATAATAGCATAGGAAATAGCATGGAAACAGAGCAATTAAACAGGATCAATTCAGCTTAACTTAAAATATATATAGTAATGTAATATAGGAACTCAGATTCAAGTCATGATTCATCTCATGATATAGATCATTTGTCATAGGGGTCATCAGTCGAATGCACAATGAAACATCCATGTCTTTAATTCCTTATGGAATGTGGATAGCCTAATCTCCCTGGGAAGGGAGTTCCAGAGACAAGGGGCCACACCAAGAATGCCCTTTCTCTTGTCCCCACCAACTGCGCCTGAGACGGGGGTGGAAGCGAGAGAAAAGCATCCCCAGAATAATAATAATATAATAACTTTATTTTTGTACCCCGCCAACCATCTCCCCTAGGGGACTCGGGGCAGCTTACAAGGGACACGCCCAAGATTACAATTAAAACACACATGTAAAACACTTTAACCAATTAAAACATCAGATAAAACAAATAACACAATTGAAAACAATGTAAAAGAAGATCTTGAGGGCTGTGTGGGCTCGTAGGCGAAGATGAAGTCACAAAGATAGGTAGGTCCTGAACCGTTTAGAGCTTTATAGGTAATGTTTAGAGGGCAATTAGAGGTAAAAGGTGGGAGTTTAGTTAGAAAAGGGTTTTTGAGTTAGACTAGGTTTGGAGTGAGATAATGGGTTTGGATGGGTTTTTGGTATGGTTGATCTGGATTAATTTGAGAGAAGCTTGAGAAAGGGTATATGAGGTTTTAAATATAATAAATATTTAATTTCTCTTGATACATTTAATTCTGTAATAAAGTTTCATTTTTATAAGTCTTTATAAGTCTATTAAGATCTTGAATTCAAAGTAGCAGCACTTAAAATAGAGCAGCAGGGTCCACTGAGGTTAGTAGCTGCATAAATCCTCATATATACCTTAAGGGAAATTAGATGGCCCTCCAGTTAGTGTTACACACTTGGGACAGGACGAAGTTCTTACGCTGTGAGCAGAGGTGGAGATCAGGGGATGTTCTCACTCTTGGTAACTGCAGTGAGCACCATGAAAGTCTTCCCATTTTGTGGATTAATTGGTAGGAACCGCAAATTTGGCCACACTGAGTGGTGGGATTGTCTGAGAAGACCCCTCATAGCTCTTCTCAGGCACTGGGAGGCTGCTAAAATGGAACCTCACAGCTGGTGAGGGCTGTAAACCCCCCTAAACTGAGTTCATCATTCCCTTCCCCCCATTTGACTAGCTTAAATGTAGACTCAACAAACAAACAAAAGCAGTCGTTTTTAATTTTATGTCTGCCCACTTTTGATAATAATATACTTGATAAAATAGATCTTGTAGATCTTATTATTCCAAACATTGTATATATGGTGTTGTAATAAACAGGTGAAAGTACACTTGTTGAAATAACATTGATTTTCTATTCTTTACTAAATCATTCATATAGTCCATATAGAATAGTGTTCATAGTCCACTTGCAGAAACTATTGACGAGTCAGATATTTTAACAGGATTTTTGAGCAGATTTGTGACTTACCTATTGTGGGTGTATTTGCTGCACTCAAGGAAGCAGAGGATGATATTGAAGAGGAGCTTTCTGTACGTGCCAAAGGAGCTGATGGAGGTGGGCTGGAACTGGAGGTAAGGGGAGGGCTGAATGGCCTCGGCTTAAAACAAAATTCAAAAACATTAGTAAGCACATTTAAATAGACATATATACAGTGAGAGAGATAAAGATCACTGATTCAAGTTGTACTACACCTACAATTTCATTAATTCCACTAAGTTTTGCTGTTGTCAGCTTTGGTCTGGAAGCTGGTCTGGGAGGAGGCACCAAAGTACCTACAGAAAGAGGAGTCGTTGGTCTTGCTGGAAAGCAAAAAGTGGGATATTAATGTATTTATACATTCATAAACATTGGCAATAAACTATTTTAGTGCACTAATATTTTAATGAAAAAGTAAATTTGGCAGTTTTTTAAAAAAGAGATTATAGAAAATGCCCAAATTAAGATACAATTCAATAATACTAACTACGCCATCGATCGTTAAGCCATAGCAATAGTAAAAACATGATGGATTGGAGAAGGCAGGCATCCATGACCATCCCTGCATATAACCATAAGATTAGGATGTGGCCACCAAATAGAGTGTCTCCCAGCTTCGCCGGGTCTGTTAAGAACTACTTGACTTTTCAATATTTGAGTCTGCTTCACTGAAAAAACATGGGACATCTTGGCTCTAAGAACTGAATATAAACAGATATTAAAGTTCACAAAAATTGGTCAACACTTATGAAATGCATATTTCTTAATAATTCACATATTTCCATTACCTGAGGTACTGATGGTATTTGTTGAATTATCTTTTTGCAGAATACAAGAAGATGAAGAACTTTTTTGCAGAGAAATTGATTGAGCTAAATAACAAAAGTAAGGGGGAAAAGTATTTAGACTCTCCCATTATCCAAGCTGTATTCTATCCAAAAAAAGGAAGTATTAGTTTAAGAGATCAACACAACTATTACAACAAGTATATACAAAATGTGTGATCTACAACTATAAACCATCTGCCACATGTTCAATATTAGCACAAAATCCTAAGTAAGCTAAGGATCTACAGAGAAAAAAACAAAATTTTATTAAAAAATAAATAAAACAGAAACCACTACATATTGCAGAATCTTGTAAAAGATGGCCTTTCAATCTATACTTGTTACCAAACCACAATATGCTGTTTGGCTGATGCCCACAGACCAAGAACAAAATAGCAGATCAGCTAATATGTAAAAATTATAGATAGGATCTAATAAAATGCTTTGATTGGGGAAGCTTCTTCCAGAAGAAAAATGTGCAGAAAAGCAATCCCCAAATAATGCTAAAAAACCGCTATAGAAGGGAAGGGTTGGGAACTCCTCCAAAGGAGGATTTTGTGATGTAGGGGACAGAAAAGCTGGCTTCGTATCTGAAAGCTTTAAGTGGAAGTTTGCAAAACACAATCAAATGTTTTGCAAACATTCTCAAAAGCCAGCAGATATGTCCAAAGAGGAACATAAATGTTGGTAAGATACCTAAAGCTGAGTTATCTTTCTAAACAATCCTATTACTTTATTAGGTGAGAAACAGCTGTGAATCAACATGTTACACTACTCACTGGCATTTTCTCTTAGAAAAATAAAACCATCACAATCTTCAGAATTAATGTTACCTGATGAGGATGAAGACATTGTTGAAGCAAGGGAGGAAGAGTCACCAGAATTTCTAAAGAGTGGATCCCAGGCCAGGAGGTCATTATTTCCCTTCCTAAGTATAAATCACATTGTTTGTAAATGCGTATTACTACATGTTTTCAATTGGTTAAACTGAATCAGCATGCTTTCATAAAAACATTCATCAATATTCCAAAAGCAAGTGTCTTTTGTAAATTCAGACCTTATTAATTATATATTCTTTTTTAAAAATCTAAAGAATAGTTTGGGAAAGCAAATACTCTTTTTTACGTATTTCAATCAACACAGTAAATAATTTGCTAATCTGTATATTTTAGTAAAAGCAGACCTAATGATGACCCCTTTCCAATAATCTGTTGACTGATTAGTGTCAGTGCTAATTCAGTGTAACATTTTGTGATATTTCAAAAGTATACTTTTTGTGAAGAAAAAGAATATACTTTATTGCATAATACTGAGGAAAGCACAAGCTCTCGATCTTTTTTCTTCTTCTTTTTACTTCTTTTTAGGGAAGGCTGCATAAGAGCACTACTGCTAACCAATATGGTTTTGAAATGGTAATCTGCACAGACCCATGTTGGATTTTGCACCTGTTTTGGAACTTTGTCAATGTAGCCTTGTATGTGAAAGCAAACTCCAAAACATGCATTTTGAAGTCCTAGAACCCAAACCTGAGACTGTACACAGACCATAAAAAGAGTAAGTTAGCTAACACTTTTTCAATCAACCTTTAGCTATGTTATTTTTGTGGGGCACCGGGATTGTGGTGCAGCTGGCAGAGTGTCAGCTGCATTAAGATCACTCTGACCAAAAGGTCATGAGTTCGAAGCCAGCCCGGGTTGGAGTGGGTTTCCAACCAATTGTGTGTAGCCTGTTGTCGACCTTTGCAACCCGAAAGACAGTTGCATCTGTCAAGTAGGAAAATTAGGTACCACCTTAAAAAGTGTGGGGAGGCTAAATTAACTGATTTATGAGGCCATAAAGAAGACTCCAGCAAAGCATTCCAGCGGGGAAGCATGTAGGGAATGCGGAAGTGCTTCATCAGCGTCGCAGATGGACGATGAAAGTGACAGCTCCCCTGGCGGCCAGAAAAAGTTAAATAGCCTCTGTGTATGTCTGTAAATGTTTGTATGTCAAAAATTGGCATTGAATGTTTGCCATATATGTGTATACTGTAATTCGCCCTGAGTCCCCTGCGGGGTAAGAATGGCAGAATATAAAAGCTGTAAATAAATAAATAAATAAATAAATAAATAAATAAATAACCGACCTTGAGTCCCTGCCTGGGAAAAAGGCAAGATATAAATAAAATGATGCATGGCTGAATGGATCTTTTTGCATGTTCTTTAAGAATATGGATTTATTTCTAAGGTAGGATATGCATGATAAAAATCCTTTAAAAACATTAGAAAGTGGTACACTTGAAGGTCCATTCTTGCCAAGGAGGAGCCATTCATGAATGAATTAAATCCTAATGCTGCCTTGGCTAGGCAAAATATCATACTTTACACTGAACATTTTATTAGACCCCATCTCTTCCTTTTTCAGTTCACTCATAAAGCAAAGGCACAGGAGAAGTACAGAAAAAATTCATCACCTCTAGGAAAAGGCGATGATCTTCCTACCCTGACGGGGAATGAATGGTTTCTTTTCTTTGGCAAGAATGAACCTTCATTGGTAAGTTTTCTAATGTGCCATTCTCAGTCAGCAAAGAAGGAGTGATCCATGAATGGGATTTACATTGTTACAATTTGGTATGACTTGTTTCAGAACCCTTCTACTAAAGAAGGCTCTGCCTGGAGAAAACATGTCTAGTTTCTACTGTTAAATGAACGTGGGTGGAACTACCCATGAGACTGCTCAGCAGATTTCCTCCAGGGATGTATTGATAGAAAAAACAATGGCTGTGATGACTTTGTTTTACTCTACACTAGTACCCCGAGGCCTGGCATCAAGCTGAAGGAAAGTGCTTTAATTTGGTAATTTATTTATTTTTTTTGGTCGTGTCAGGAGCAACTTGAGAAACTGATTCTGGTGTGAGAGAATTGGCCGTCTGCAAGGACGTTGCCCAGGGGACGCCCGGATGAATTGATGTTTTTATCATCCTTGTGGGAGGCTTCCCTCATGTCCCCGAATGAGGAGCTGGAGCTGATAGAGGGAGCTCATCCGCCTCTCCCCGGATTCGAACCAGCGGCCTGTCAGTCTTCAGTCCTGCCGGCACAGGGGTTTAACCCACTACGCCACCGGGGGCTCCGATTTGGTAATGGGTGCTGCCTTAACCGAAACAAAGAAACCTTCTATGGTAGAAAAACTATGGTGAAAAGCCTAAGTAAGCTTTTTAAAGAAAAGGAAACAGTGCAGAGAGAATTTTAAAAAATCAGGAAAATAATAATCTGAAAGAAAAAAAAGAAGTAAAAGTGAAGGAGATGGATATACAACCCTTCTAGGCAATGCAACAAGAACTGAGGCAGGCAATGAGGACCAATAAAAAAAGTTCAGTATAAAATGAGGAAATATTTTGTCTAACTTGGGTAGCAACAGGTATTAATCTGATCATGAATGGCTCTTTCTTCACTGTCTTAGAATTATTTCTATCCATAACCTCGTCTCTCTCCGTCTCTCTCTCTCTCTCTCTCTCTCTCATATATATATATGTAAATTTGACAAATATCAGGTCAGATATCAGATACATTCACCAGACTTATGCACCAATGTACTACTTTGGTGTAGCAATGTACTAATATGTATACACCATACATAGGCATCAACTTAACAATGTAATGATATGTACCAATTTGGCACTAAAATGATACCAAATTTTAATCTGAATGACTTTACTATAAATAGAAACACTTAAATATGAGCAAAAAGATGTATTAAAAAGGTAAGGGGGAGGGAAGCAGTTGGAATGAAAAATGAAATGAATTTAATAAAAAATCAAACTGTAAATCTTAAACTTAACATGTCATATCTGAATCCAGCAATAAATCTGGAAAAAAATCTTACAAAAATAATATCTGGTAATTTATAAATAAAAATAAATGTCAAAGAAGAAACTTACTCATTGGATGAAGCAGAAAGCTTTGATTTTGTTAATTCTTCACCTAATTAAAAATATCATGATCATTGAAAGCAAAAGTATTTAATTAACAAAATCAACCATGTTTTACAAAAACACAGTTCTGACTGGTAAATGACAATCCAAAGTAATTCAAACAACAAATGAAATGGACATGTACTACAATATGAATTATACGCGGCTGCTATGTTTTCTAAGTTGAGCTTCTAGTGTAGCTATTTAACTTAGGATTAAGAAGCCCTAAGATTCTTAGGATTTCAGGGGGCTCGTGAACTTGGATGGGGAAACAGTAGATCTTTATTTTCATTATCCCCTCTAACTGATATGTACAATTCCCTTCTATTATGAATATAGGCAACAACTGGGAGTAGTATTAGGATTATTTGTGGGCTTCACCAGACCACCAAAGAAGTCCATAGTATAAAACAACCACAATACTAGAATCTAGCATAATACAATATTAGGTACTGCTCCCCTGGGACTGTTTTCTCCTTCACTACAGAGCAATCTAATCCCAATTGTTCTATGGGAAGTCCAAGGAAGAGGGAATAAACAAATTATCAGATGTCTGTTTTCCTCCCAAAAGGAAGATCTTTTTTTCCATTTTAAAATGGACATTTAATACATTCATTACGAAATGGCTGTGCATGTTTTCAAGTTGCCAGTCAACATCTGGTGACTTCATGAACTTTGTAGGTTTTTTTTTTTAAAGCAAAGAATATTCAGAGGTGGTTTTACCAGTTCCTTCCTCTGAAATACAGCCTACTGGTTCTGGTATTCCTTGGTGGTCTCCCATCCAAGTAGTAACTAATCTCACTCAACTTCCAGGATCAGATGGAATGTGGTGCCTTCGGGGTATTTGACCTTAAAATATGCGTGGAAACTGCAGACCATAGGCAATATACAACATATACAGCCAGGTTTTTCTTGCCTCCCCTCCTCCTCTGCAACTCTACACTTATGTCATATGGAGTGGCAGTATCATTCCAACAATCATGGCATCCAAAATTCTCAAAACGCCCGGTATTGGTAAAACTGGTTTTAAAAAACCCTGAAATGAAAACCTGATGTAGACCTGGTCACCTCCAGAACTTATTTTTCATTTATTTTTAACCAAAAGCCAAGACATGTGGGCTGCTACTGGGAGTGCAAGGGTAAAAGTGCTCCCCTCAACCTAAACAAATAGTTTCCTTAAAATACTATCACACAGAAGCCAGGCTCAAACATTTATTTTGTGCATATCAAAAAAGATACACATATACACACACAAGCTTCTCAGCCATCCAGAGCTCAAACAACTAAAACTCTCAAGCAACCAGCAAAAAAATTGATTGAAGAAAAAAAAATGCTTAAAATAAAAAAAATTACAATGCAATAAAATCAGTTTTTATAATGCAGAAAAACTGTTACATTACGTTACATTTGTTTTTATTTCTTTTAATTTGCTTTTAACTGCAATTTAACTCCAACTGGTATTTCAATATTAATATGAAGTCAATACAGTGTTTATGGTATGGTATAGAATGGGGTATAGAAATATTTAGGCCTTTTAAAAAATTAACTCTCAAGCAACCAGAAACTACATTTATCCAGAATCTACCAATCCCCATAGGTGTCAGTCAACTGAGAGTCTACTGTGTGTACATGCATATGTATACACACACTATTATTATTGTGTGTCTTCAAGTCATTTCTGACCTATAGTGCAAAACTTGTTTAGAGGTAGTTTGCCACTGTTTCCTCTAAAACTGAGAATGTGACCCTTGCCCAAGGTCACCCAGTACGTTTTCACAGGTGAGCCAGGATTCTTAAACCAATGTGCATCATGCTGGTTCTTGTACATACACACATACTGTTCCAATGAAGACTGGTTATTCTAGCAGTACCCACAAACCATTTACTTCCAGGATGTTGTTAAGATCAACATGGGAAATATTTTACTTTTTTTGCACCTATAGGTATGCTAAAGAATAATAAGTAACAATAATTTGGAGGAAAATCCCTGCTTCTAAAATCAGAATCAAATGTTAAGATTCAGCATGCAATACTACTTTGTGTCAGAATCTTTTAAGAGTTGCACTAAACCCAATCTAATACCACACACTCAATTCATTAATTCATATTTTATTATGGACATGTATTTAATTCTGTACAACTGCAAAGAAATACAGATATTTGCAGCTGCCTACTGTAGCAGAAAAACATTCTTCACTTCAAAAAAATCTCAAATACAGAGAGAACTTTTGAAAAAAAAACCCCTAAACTGAATATCCAACTTTTTTCTCTACATGAAATCATTAATTATACAGGCACACTTCCTCAAAGAGAAAATTAAAGTCTTGCAACAGTAGGAGCTTATTTGACGATGGTCAAGGGTTCACACAGACTTACTAGATGAGTTCCGGTTCATCTGTGCCTGCACAAAAGATAATGAAAAACAAACAGTGCTTAATGAACAGATACTTGTGATCTGAGTGGATAGATACAAATTCTGGAGCATTCATTAGATACTAAGATTAGCAACTGTTACAAAGCAAAAAATATGCACACTTAAGACAGGAAAGTTATTTATGTAAGTGATGAAATATTTACAACGGTTTTTCATAACATAGCATCCTAAGACCATAGCTGGATAGCAAACAATATGCGCTATTCTATAAATAAATGCCTTCTTTAATATTAAGATTTGCTAAGGACACTCTCTTTTGTGTCCCATCACAGGGAACAATACTATAAATAGAAATATAGGAGAGGGGCTTCTCTGCTGTGGCATCCCATTTGTGAAATGCATTCTGTTTTAAAGTTGGGCTGGTGTTGTTGTCTTATTTAGGTACACAATTAAAACATGGCTCTTCAGTCAACTTTTATATGACCATGGCATGGGGTTGCCTTGCTGGGTTTGGGATTTTTTTTTGTCTTCTTTTTTAAACGGAACTCTTTGAAATTGTTTTCATATGTTTAATTTCTATTCCTCTAGACCAGAGTTTCCCCTCCAGAGTTTTGGACTTCAGCTTCCACAAATCCCAACAGCTGGTAAGCTAGCTGAGATTTCTGGGAGCTGAAGTCCAAAACACCTGGAGAAGCACAGTTTGAGAAACACTGCTCTAGACCATTCATTAAACTATATCCACAAATATTTTTATCTAGAAAACAAGTAAGTGATATTGTGTGTAGCTAACCATTTATACAGTAACAGCTACATGGAAGCAGTGTCAAATGCCACTGCATAGCTGATACGATGTAACAGGAAATGTCTGATCAATCTTAAGGAAGAACATAAAAGCCATATTAACAATAGCTGTTATAGATAATCGGCTAGCTAGAATAGAAAACTCTTTCTACAGTTATGATTCTGTATCAGTTCTATGGTATATGAACTTTACATGGATAAACAAAAATCTGTGGTCACTAGGATCCTCCTGCTGACAGCAGGCAGATGATTGTCTCTGGTGTCAGCCATCTTAAGGTTAGGGACAATTGTTTTATATGTTTAGAATATGAGATATGCAGCATGAGAATAAGCACCCATGAAGCTTCTAGCTGGGACTTGTTTTGCTTTGCATCCCAATTTATCCATTTGCTACAAGACAGAAAGGGAAAATAAAATTATTCCTCCACCAGGAAAGATTGGAAATCTAATGTAATTACAACAAATTTCTTGTCCTATCTTAAACTGCATTGATGGAAAGAAACCTGGCATTTCCCACATTTGCCTAAATACACAGAAAACCTGCCATAAGGAAAACAAATTATGGGTCTTTAGTTCTAAAAGGGGTTTTTAAATAGATCCCTTTGTGGCAAACTTGAGCTGAGATTGAAGATATTTGCTGATGCCTTTTCCTTTCCAGAAAGAGTTTTCTATTCTAGCCAGAACTACAGCTAGTTCCACTGCTAACACGAGAGAATGATTACTGTAGAATAAACATTCATTGTGTCAAGGCAAAAAACTATGAGGCAGTTAGGCTTATTTTTCAAATGACAATAAAACTATTAGATTAAAACTCAGCTATCATAAACAGACAGCATTACTAAATCTTTATTGAACTATAACATTCAATTATTTAATACTTACTGGACTATGTCTCTGATGTCAGCATAGGAAAAAATGGGGAAAAAATGACATACAATTATGTGCAAATTATATGTAACACTTAATATTCTTCTCTAATTTTCAAATTTGAAGCACCAGATATCTGTGTTAATACAATAAAAATCGCAAACATAAAGGGTAGTTTCATTTTAAAAAGAAAGCAAGGACTGTTGAAATAAATTATGATTTCACCACCTGTCTACTGTAGATCTCCTATACTATAAAATAGCGAATCCTTATGAATTTTATGGCCTGGATCATATTGTTAATCCTAACTAGAATCAATGGAATTTATATAAGTATAAACTCACAATTCTATAATTGATACAATAGGTCTATTCTAGTTGGGTCTACAAACAGACTTTTATTTGCAATCTTCCTAGTCTAGAGGAAGGGTGGGAATCATTCAGCCTTCCAGGTATTTTTGGCTCACTCTCAGGAACCAGCAATAGTATGTCCAATGTTAAGAAAAACTGTGAACTGTGGTCCCATAACATCCATAGTGTCATTTGATTCCTACCCTGGAATAGCCATAAGCCTGGGAGGGGCAAATGTCGTTCAACATGAAATAGAAAGAACATCAAGAACACACACTGTCCAAATGGGATGTATAGAACTATTTTAGAATACCAGATATTGAGAACTCTTCTAAGAAGAAAAGCTGGTATTCTTTTATACTAGAATTACTCCAGAATACAGAGCACCAAACCAGAGATGGAACTGAATTCGAACAAGTTGCTCCGCTTTCCTACATCTGAGGCTGATTTAGAGCAGAGCTTTCCTGTATCGATCATACATATCTGCACATAGGGTATATTACAACCTTGAATTTGGCCCCTGCAGATATCCTGCATCCCTCCTGCTTCTGAATCCCCACTTCTATTTTTTACCAAGTTCACAGTTGCTCCATACAGACATAAGAGAATTGGAATAGTGTCTAGATCTAGGGAAGTAATGCTACCCCTCTATTCTGCTTTGGTTAGACCACATCTGGAATATTGTGTCCAGTTCTAGGCACCACAATTCAAGAGAGATATTGACAAGCTGGAATGTGTCCAGAGGAGAGCGACTAAAATGATAAAAGGTCTGGAGAACAAGCCCTATGAGGAGCGGCTTAAGGAGCTGGGCATGTTTAGCCTGAAGAAGAGAAGGCTGAGAGGGGATATGATAGCCATGTATAAATATGTGAGAGGAAGCCACAGGGAGGAGGGAGCAAGCTTGTTTTCTGCTTCCTTGGAGACTAGGACGCGGAACAATGGCTTCAAACTACAAGAGAGGAGATTCCATCTGATCATGAGGAAGAACTTCCTGACTGTGAGAGCCGTTCAGCAGTGGAACTCTCTGCCCCGAGTGTGGTGGAGGCTCCTTCTTTGGAAGCTTTTAAACAGAGGCTGGATGGCCATCTGTCAGGGGTGATTTGAATGCAATATTCCTGCTTCTTGGCAGGGGGTTGGACTGGATGGCCCATGAGGTCTCTTCCAACTCTTTGATTCTATGATTCTATGAATCCATGTGCACATAAGCATGTGTGGCCTCATCAGAAGCTGTCCCCGGAATGAAAAGCTTGTGTACTTCAATAAGCCGTGGTAGAAGTATAGTAGTTTTTTTTCTGAACAGTACTTGCTAACCTACACAGCTAGCTTCTCTCATCCCTTCGCTGAGCACATCTTTTCCTACTTTCTCACAAGCTCTTTGTAGACAATAGAAGCAAGGTTGGAATACCACTTTCTAAAAATTACTTTTTCATCATTTGATATAATTAAAAATAGATAGTAAAGATACTGACATTCTACATCTCACCAATGCGTGTTAAATGTGAGTTAATTCAATCCTGCCTATACTAGTAGTAATAACAAAATAATTTACAGTGTTTAGTACACTAAATATTGTGCATGGATTACTTACAGATATAGCTGGCGAGAGTGTGATATTTCCTATTGATTCTTTTAATTCATCCAGTGAAGGCATTGTATAATGAGAACTATTGTTTGGCTGTACAGGTTTAATTTCCACATGGAACTTCCTTGGTTCGTCATCTTCAGAATCGGAATCACTTGACGAATAGAAGTGATTTTCTTTGGCATGTTATTCTTTGTTAAAGTAAAAGCTGATTAATCAGTTAATTATAGCTCTAGCTGCTAAGAATGTAAACTGACATGCAATAATAATTACGCAAACAAGTATGCTAATGTTTATGCCTTAGAAAAGTCACTAAAACTTAGATTCAAAGAACATGATAAAGACAGCTCAAATGTCTATATAATAATAAAAAAGGATATTCTGACTAGCTTCTGGCTTAATGCTATAGCCTTCATCATCCACATCTGGAATGTTCTGGGAAGAAACAATAATTAATTAGGGCAACATATTAGTGAAAATATTTTAAGCAAGTGTCTCAATCTATTGTTGATTTTTTTGGTTATTGATAAAATAAAGTGTTTTTCTCAGCAGAAATTGCAGGCTATTTAGTGTAAGAAAATCAAGTTCATCATGTTTTATAAGTTTACAAGTCATTAGATGGAGTTTCACAATTTCTTTCTTTACAGCTAAGAAGCCAACACTGATGGAACAAACATTTGTTTGATAGTTGTTCTTGTTGTTTAGTTTTGACTAGAAACCTATATATGACATAACATTTTGCAGAACTCCATCCAAAACTTACACAGTGAATTAGACACCCCATCCTGAATGTATGGCAGGTATGTAACTAATTAGAACCAGTGTGGTGTAGTAGTTTGCACACTGGACAAGGATTCTTAGAGCAAGGTTCAAATTATTGCTTGGCCATGGAAACCTACTGGCTGACCTTGGGCAAGCCACACTGTCTCACAGGAAGGCAAAGGCAACCATTTTCTGAACAAAGTCTGTCAAGAAGACCCCGTGAAAAGTTCAACTTAATGTTGCCTTGAACTTGAAGATGTACAACAACAAATGTAGAGGTTAGAAACCATATTGCCATTTAGATGTTGTTGGATTGTAACTTCCATTATGCCCTTCATTTGCTATTTCTGTTAGAGATGATGGGAGTTTCAGTCCAATGACATATACAGTGGGGGGGGGGGGGGAGTATTTAGTCAGATACCAATTGTACAAGTTTTCCCACTTAAAAAGATGAGAGAGTCCTGTAATTGACATCATAGATAGACCTCAACTATGACAGACAACATGAGGAAAAAAATCCAGAAAATCTGATTTTTAATGAATTTATTTGCAAATTAGGGTGGAAAATAAGTATTTGGTCCATAACAAAAGTTCATCTCAATACTTTGTTATATATTTTTTATTGGCAATGACAGAGGTCAAATTTTTTCTGTAAGTCCTCACAAGATTGGCACACACTGTTGTTGGTATGTTGGCCCATTCCTCCATGCAGATCTCCTCAAGAGCTGTGATGTTTCAGGGCTGTAGCTGGGCAACATGGACTTTCAACTCCCTCCAAAGGTTTTCTATAGGGTTGAGATCTGGAGACTGGCCAGGCCACTCCAGGACCTTGAACTGCTTCTTACGAAGCCACTCCTTCGTTGCCCTGGCGGTGTGCTTGGGATCATTGTCATGCTGAAAGACCCAGCCACGTTTCATCTTTAGTGCCCTTGCTAATGGAAGGAGGTTTGTACTCAAAAACTCACAATACGTGGCCCCATTCATTCTTTCATCAGTCGTCCTGGTCCCTTTGCAGCCCCAAAGCATGATGGTGCCACCCCCATGCTTCACAGTAGGTATGGTATTCTTTGGATGCAACTCAGCATTCTTTCTCCTCCAAACATGAAGACTTGTGTTTCTGCCCAACAGTTCTACTTTCATTTCATCTGATCATATGACATTCTCCCAATACTCTTCTGGATCATCCAAATGCTCTCTAGCAAACTTCAGTCAGCCTCGGACATGTACTGGCTTAAGCAGGGGGAAACATCTGGCACTGCAGGATCTCAGCCCTGGCAGTGGCGTAGTGTGTTAATGATGGTAGCCTTTGTTACATTGGTCCCAGCTCTTTGCAGATCATTCACTAGGTTCGCCGTGTGATTCTGGGATTTTTGCTCACTGTTCTTGTGATCATTTTGACCCCATGGCGTGAGATCTTGCGTGGAGCGTCAGATCAAGGGAGAATATCAGTGGTCTTGTATCTCTTCAATTTTCTAATTATTGCTCCCACTGTTGATGTCATCACACCAAGCTGCTTGCCTATTGCAGATTCAGTCTTCCCAGTCTGGTGCAGGGCAACAATTTTGTTTCTGGTGTCCTTTGACAGCTCTTTGGTGTTCACCATAGTGGAGTTTGGAGTATGATTGCTTGAGACTGTAGACAGGTGTCTTTTATACTGATAACAAGTTCAAATAGGTGCCATTACTATAGGTAATGAGTGGAGGACAGAGGAGCCTGTCTGTGAGACCCAGAAATCTTGCTTGTTTGTAGGTGACAAAAAACTTATTTTCCACCATAATTTGCAAATAAATGTGATAAAAATCAGACAATGTGATTTTCTGGATGTGTTTTCTCATGTTGTCTGTCATAGTTGAGGTCTACCTACGACGTCAATTACAGGCCTCTCATCTTTTTAAGTGTGAGAACTGAAACAATTGGTATCTGACTAAATACTCCCCCCCCCCCCGTATAGGGAGGACCCTTTGATCTGAGGCAGAATTTCTTTTTCATGAAATTCTTAAAACAAAGTAAATATTTGAAGTGTATACCTAGACAATTTCAGACTGACTTAGCCCCTTGCATTCCCAGAGGCTCAAAACTAAATCCTCCTTTTATTTTCTTGAATATTTGTCCTCTCTCCTGGGGAAAAATGTCAATGTTCAAGAGACTAAGCTGACCCAGTTATCACCCACTAGAAGCATGAAAAGGGTTATGTCTATGTTGGAGACAGTTAGAAAAGGAACAAAAATAATTATCCAATATTATACTTCTCTTATACAAACTAATGGTGCAACTATACTTGGAATACTGTATATTGTTCTTGTCAGCACATTTGAAAGAAGTTATTATAGGACTGTACAATACAGTGAAAAATGCAGATGATGAAGCAGGTGGAACAACTCCTCTATGAGCAAATCTTTTGGGGGGAGGAGATAAAGGTAAACAAGACTGGCATGTATAAATTTATATAGGGGAAAATAAAATGGATAAGAAGAAACTTCTTTCTCTCTCTCTCTCTCATACCTTAACAATGGCTGGCAATTTGAATGGCCCTAAAAGGGAACTGGGCTAATACAAGGAAGATAAATGGTTAATAGTCATGACAGCTATATATATTTTTTCTGGTATAAAAAGCGAAGAACCAAGTTATGAGGACACTACTATACTCATGTTCTTCTTCTGGGCCATCCACAAACAATTGGTTGGCCACTGTGTGAACAGATTATTTGAGAAGATGGACCTTTAATTTGGTTCAGCATGTTCTTAATTTAAGATAGTGTTTTTCTATGGATCCAAGTTCCTGGAAACTGAGCTAATATAAAACATACCAACATTGTTTAAGCTTTAAATTTTTGTGCATCACATACAAAGATATAGGAGCCTACAAAAAACAGCCAACACACTACAACACCCCACTATCTTTACAATTGTACTGTACGATGGCATATCCATGCTCAGAAAAATCAAATACAAATTTTAAAAAAATCTGAAAGTAGTTCTTCATCTGTGAAAATTCCACTCAGCATACATGAAATAAAAGCTCAAAAAGCAAAAAACACAAATCAGCTTTTCATTTATCTTAAAACATTAGGGGCCAGGGTAGCACAGCAGGCTAAACCACTAGCTGCAGGAAAAGCTGTTGACTAGAGGGTTAGCACTTCAATGCCGTGAGCTGTCAGTCCTAGCTTCTGCCAACCTAGCAGTTTGAAAACATGCAATGTGAGTAGATAAATAGATACCGCCTCAGTGGGAAAGTAAATGTGCGATCCATGCAGACATGATAGCAATAAAATTGGAGATGTCTATGAACAGCAGGCTCCTCAGCATGGTAAAATGGAATAAGAGCACCTCCCCATGGCCGGAGTTGAGCATTGCCTCCAGACACTGGAGATAAAAAGGGGAAGGCTTTTACCTTGTCTGCGTATTGTATGTCGTTCATTGTGTAAAAAGGCACTGAATGTTTGCCTTATATGTATATTGTAATCTGCTCTGAGTCCCTCCGGGGAGATAAAGCGGAATATAAAGTGTATTGTTATGATTATCCTGTAGTTTAATTGCACATGAGTAACAATGATTTATTTTGTGTTAAAACAGCATTTTCTGCAAGGTGGAGCTATCTGATCAAACATTGCCTTACTCAAGGGACATTCTGTAATCACTGTAAGAGTTATAGGTTGATCGCTCTATTATTAAACCATTAATCATGTTTGCATTTACTTTCTTTCTCCCTTGTATTAGAAAATAATTTAACACTGTTAATATGAAATAAAACAAAGGCACCCTATAGATTTTAGGCTTCTCAACTAACACTGTGTAAAGTGCATAAAATGAATAAAACATTCCAGAAAATCTCAATCAGAATACTTATAGTTTCTCTTTTTTTAAAATTCAAGCTTTGCTTTCATAAAGCAGTTTGACTTGAAAAAACATCATTCTCAGAGTCTGATACCTTAGCTCTACTTGTTCAGAACCACGAAGATTTATCTATGCTTGACCTCAAGATGACCATGTTCATAGGATAAAATGTACTAACAAGACTTGACAACAAAGTAAACGGAACAAATACAAATACCTAGAGGCCATGTACATTCCAATATAAAATACAGCCAAATAACTTCTTAAGTTACACTGTTGAAGTTGAAGTGCTATTTTGTTACCAGGCATATTAAAATACTTCAAATATCCTTAACAATTACTTTGGAGATTTTCTGGCAAACACTGGAAAACAAGCTATTATTTACCTGCGATTTCCAATACCGGAGAAATAAACAGACGGATTTTTAGATTAATTTAAAATACTACCAAGGTTGTGGTGGTCAGAACAATAAGGTTTTCTGAGTAAAACAATAAAAAAGAGACAATGTTGAGTTGTCCCCTTTTTTTTGTTAAGAAAAAAACACAGTTCAGACATACTACGGTCCCAAACTGGACTACATAGAAGAGCTATTCTCAAGAATAATATGTGATTTATGAATATTTTTCTTCACACCATACCTCTGGAGGCACAATAAATGTACTGCGTGGCTCAAGACTATACTCTGCCTCTTATTTACTGGAGATTCCAAGCAGAATCCAAACTATTGATCACTTCATTTACAAATTCTCTATTTTATGCAGCTAGAAGTAGCCTTCTGGCTGTCTGATTGCAGCTTTGTCCACAGCGGGTCCTGGGTGGGACTTATGAAAATGTTTTTTTTGGAATTTCCAAGTTTGTTCATCCTTGCTGTAATGTTTCTAGACACTAAATAAAATAGTTCCCCTTTTTTTTACAAAAGTGCACTTAGTACAAATTTTGTTGACCAATTCAAAGCCAATCCTACATCTTGGTCACTTTATTTTGCATCAACATGGCAACAAAATCTATAACCTACCCACCACCCACAACTTTTTATTGTTAACTCTTTTGCTGAAATCCTGTTAAGGGACTTTGCTGTTGCTGTCTATTTTCAAATTGTTATAAATCTATGGTAACCCTATGGCAAATCCATCACAGGGGTTTCTTGGCAACATTTGTTCAGAAGAGGTTATACTGCTAGAAAAATCACAGTGCAAACAGCTGTGCTTTCAGAGAGGTCGCTTAAGTGCAGTTTCTGATGCAGCCAGTTATTTTGCAAAAACACACTGATCCCTTTTTCTCACTTTTGAATTGATGGGTGGGGGAAATAAATGACCAATAATCACTGGGTAAGCAAAAGGTCACAGCTTTCATTGAGCAACCGGGTACATAATTAAGAGATGTAATATAACTATGTGTAATGGATATTAGCTGTGTTTTCTTCAGTTTCTACAAGTTTAATGCTGGAATATTTTATAAATCTGCACTCTTAAATTTGTAGGTACACTTTTACATCAACTGGTTAGCTGAAGGACCCCAAAAAGTTGCTAAGAAACTGTGGTTATATTATATGGTATACATGTTCATTTATTTGAAACATTTATATTCCACCCTTCTCACTCCAAAGAGGACACAGGGCAGAGCACAACATATATACGGCAAGCATTCCATGCTGTATGTGTACTCCACCACAGTGCTGGGAGCCACTATTATCTTGTTCATTTTATAATATCAATATTCCTCTATGGCTCTATGTTGTAGGGATGGATGAGTAGAAGTGGACAAGCTAGCACTTCTTTGCCATTACTGATCTTCTGCATTCAAGGGACTTCAAGTTTTTGCTGGCGTGCTAAATTTTAAAGCACATTTTAAAGCCATTTGTGCAGAAACGTAGTATTTGAGCACGCAATCCATCTGAATTAATAGCACACTGATAACCTTACTAATTGCACCCACTCTCTGATAAAAGTAACATGTCATGGTAAGAGAATGAGATTATGTTTTGAAACACTGAAATGTGCATATTCTACTGGGGAATAAGGGAGAGAAAGTAAGATATAATGCTTGGTGTAGCTTGAAAGGAATATGCCAGACACATTTACACTTGAATTTGTTTCATTAATTATTAAACAAGGAGCACCAAAACAAACAAGTCAAAAGTAAACACTGTAAGCCAATCCCAGTTAAGTATCACTCCAGTGACTTATTTCTGGAGCTGTCAAGAAGCATTAATTCAATGAAATGCATAATTCAGGGCTAAAGCAATCAGTTCCTTCAGCTTAAGGCCACACAAAAATGGGCATTCACAACATTTCTCAAAAGTAGAAAAATGGGATTCTGTGAGGATGACAGAAAAAAGTGTGCTTGGCAGGCAAACTAAGTATTGGTTTACAGTCTGCTTTTTAGTATGACACATTCTTATTTGACAAGAAACCTTGAATAAAATAATCTGAACCCACAAATTCCTCAGAATATCAGAGTCCTAAATGAAAAGACTGAAAACAGTTCTGTCTATAGGAAACGTTTCAAAGCATACTGGAAATCTATTCTTTCATTTAAGCCGCAGGGAGTTCCACCTTTCTGTTTTCTTGAACAAAATACTAACAAAAGGGTCAAGTAATTCTAAAAAATAATAATAAAAGAGCACACTAATTATTTTATCAAACAGCAAGTTCTTGAATGGTATCCGCTTTATTCAATTGTACTCAAAATAAGACTACTTACTACTGAATCTGCATCTGGACACTCCCTGTTTTTAAAAAATAAAACAGCCAGTGAATGAATTAGTTTAGATTTCATTTTGTAACATCCTTATAATCAGAGTATATCCATTTAGTATATCTGCTATCCATTTATAGAAAGGTTCACATCCCATTTGTATTTTTCAATAAAGCAATGTAAAGGCCTCTAACATACAAAACAGAAATTATGCTAGCAATATACCATAACCTAGAACAAAAGAAAGGAGAAATAAATAAAGCTCATCAAATGCAAAGCACCATTGAAGAACTGAAGGCTGTTTGAATAAAAAGGTACTTAATTAATTCTGCAAAATTAACAGGGAGGTAGCTAGGAGAATCTCCTAGGAAGTTCTACAGGGCTGATGCCGCCACCATTGAGACTAATATAACTAAGGAAGGCTCTCTAAAACCCCGGCTCTGGTTAGAATTGTTGCTGCTGCATTTTGTATCAGAAAAAGCTTCAAAACGTTATTCATAAGCAGAGTGTGATAGAAAGTACTGCAGTAAACTATTCTCATTCTAACTAAGAAATGTATTACTTTGACCATATTTACTAGCATCTTCAAAAATGGATGCAACTAACACACTAGTCCAAAAAAAAGTTCTGAACAACTGCTACCTAGCAATCGAGCATTCCCAAATTGTGAACCTATTTTGTCAAGATGAGTGAATCTGTTTCCAAGACAGAGAACACCTATCACTATGTTATTAGTCATGACCAAAAGAGCCTTCAAGTCTCTAAATTACCACATTAATTTTACTACTTGTGAGTAACCAGAGTAACCAAATCTTTCTAGCATAGTTATCAGTTAGTTTCTATTCTACTTGGTAGTTTCATTTCAACTTGGCAAAATATAATAGAAGTTAGGGATGACTATGGATTGCCAGGAACAAAGGTTTCTATGCCTTCTTGATGAAGAACAGTATTTGAAGCTGTGCAGACATTACTGCATCTGCTTATGCTACAGAGAAATACAAGTACAATTCAGCTCAAAACAATGAGTTGGTTAGGCTGAAGATGATATTTCCACTTCTCCAAGAGATCGTGTTCTCTCAAATTTACATTTATTGTGTGTGTGGGGGGGGGGTGCATATGGCATTTATTATACAATTATATTAGACACATGTTACTGTCATAATTTTTAAAAGTATTAAATGATTTACAATCACATCTGTAACATACTTACACAGATTCTGTATCTTTTTCCTTCTTAATAATTCCTGGTAATCCAAAGTGTTTTCTTTTTCTAGGCTTTATCCCTGCAAAGTTGGGAATTTATTGTCAGATGAAAATTAAGATTCCTACTTGATTCTGCAGATAACTTAAACATCTTCCAATTTTTTTAATAAATAGCCTCTTTTTATAACTATGGATATATTTAACAGGGAAACAGGCCTACATATTTACCTGTACACAAAGGACATCTCCTATCAGAAACTTTATTCATTTTATGTGGGAGTAGAAACTGATGGAAATATGAAGATGCCTCTGTGCGACATCTTGATATATCAGAAAAGATGTATATAAGAAAACTGACAAGTGCTCCCTGTTTTGCCTGGACTGAGCTTCAATTTGATCACCTTCACGGAGGGTGCAACAGACTGTAGTCATTTGCTTAGTTCTAATGAAAAGGGAACAGAGATTCAGCCAGGTATCATCAGCCTACTGATGAGACATCACAGTAACATTAATTGCAACATCTCTTTGTTCCATTGAGATCTGTTGTGGGTTATTTCAGGAAATCTCATGGCCAAACCCCCTGTCTCCTAGACACACTCTGGGCTACATACACACTAACAGGACACTGAATTGTTTAAAGCAAGTATCTTTGTGCTTTAAATGGGATTGACCGCTGTTTATTGCCAAATCTGACATCAAATCACTACACGTTATTAAAAATAATCAAAATATTTATTGAGCTTAAAAGCAAGTACAAATGCTTTTAAAGCGAGGAGATTTTTTTCCACTGGCTATCACAGGATTTTGATTAAATGTTCTGGAAGATGCCTTGAATATGTGTGGAAAATCTGTCTTAAAGGATGGGATATATAAATGGCCACAAAATATATCATAGATCAATAAAAAATCTTAGAGTTACACATTATAAAAGCTTGAACACAGAATGAAGAAATAGAGAGAAAAGAGAAAACAAACTAAGAAAAACACTTGAGTATCTTTATAATCTGTCTTAGCTAGAAATTTTTTAGGTGTTCTTTGTTTCATCTTAAGATCTTTATGACGGGGGTTCTATTATGACTAAAAGTATATTCAAATACTGCACTCTTTTTAATAGAAGAGACTTATTAGCATAGTGAGAAGTTAGGGACATCTGACAATCTCTTGTGGTGGCATACTCTTACTAGTAGGATACAAAAAGTAACCAGTTTTTCTATAGCTTGTGTCACAGAAACATTTAAAATAATCTCTGTTTCATAATGGAAGCAAATATGATATATTGTACATTTTAAACCATCATAACAATGCAAGAGGAACTTACCTTCTACAGCACTAGCTGTATTACATTCTTCAAATTCAATCAGCCCTTTGAAAATAAGAAAAAGATGGATATCCTAATGTTATTTGTTTGAATTGTTTATGGAAAATAATCAATTAAAATTATAGCTGTGATGTTTGGTCAATGAATTAATTAAACACACTCAAACAGACACAGTTCCACACTCCTATCTCTGTAAACTGAGGGGCTTTTGCTATTTGTCAACTAAGTTGGATTCTGCGTGGGTACCCATTATCACCTTCTAGATGCCTAGACATCTAACTTGTGATAGTGGATTAACAAGACAAGTAGAATTAACATCAACACTCCACTTCAGCATTTTTAAATTCTGGAATTTTTGCATGGGAAGATGAGCAAATACTTTTGTAATCATTGAGTCTATTTATTATATGTGATCACAGATATAGAAACATATATATTTATCTTAGAGGAAAACTCTGACATATCAATTTCTGAGTGTTTCCATTTCATCACAGTAGATTACATTACATAACAAGACATAGGATAGTACACATTTTATAGTACCATCAGTTTCTTTCATAGTTTTCATAATATATCTTAAGGGGATACACACACACATACATACACATACATACATACACATACACATACACACACACACATACACATATACACATATACATATAACTTGTACAAAATTCTGTCCCTATCCATAACTATCTATCCATAATAAATACAATCTTATCTGATGGAGCATTACACATCTCTAAACATACTTTAAAGGGTTTAATTGAGTACTATTATACTTATAAACCTTCATTACATAGCTATAAACCTTCATTACATAGCTATTTCATATCTTTTTTTAGCCACATCAGCATAGCCCCCTCTTCATCCATTGCAGACTGCCAAAACAGTCTGACTGCCATCTCCTCTTGGCTTCTTTTATTCTCTTCATAGCATATCAGCTGCCTAATTAAAATAAAGGTGCCTTTTTCTGTCATCCAATCATAGAAGATCTCAGATATTACATCGCCCTGGTATGGTTGCACTCTTTGGCTGGCTGCCATCCCAACTACATCGGCCAATGTATCTGCTATGAGGCTTTATCTAGTGGTCAAACCTGCTCATATTTCAATGTTGATAGAAACCTAAAAGTTGTAATCTCGTTCATCTCTGAACAGGCAGTTTGCCTAGTAATAGCCTACCTCTTTGTTCCCAGTAACATATACACTCTAATATATTTAGCTTCCTCCATTATATCTCATATCACATGCCACAGGAGGCCTGTACAGCCCGTTGGATTCTGCCCTCCAGGTATTTTGGACTTCAGCTTCCAGAATTCCTAGCTGGCCAGGGTTTCTGGAAGTCTATGTATGTTTCCAGGCCTCAAAAATAAACCAAGCCTGTAACAACATAATTTCAGTTGAGAAGCTGATTGTGAGGTCTGAAAGAGATCCCCACTTGCCTTAAAAGCATACAAAAGAGCCAGACTTATCTTCAAGGTTACACACAATTTTGAAGTAGCAGTAGTAACTAATATTTTCATTATGATTCTGAACTCTTTCACTTCCATGGATGAAACCTCATCCTTGTCAGAATGAAAGAGATTAAATGGGTACCACACATTTTGGTTGGCCAACACCACGAAAAAAGAGAAAAGAGAAGAAAAGCAAAACATCTCTAATTGTAAGAAAAGGCCTCTTGGGGTAGTTATGGCCATTATCCTATTAGAAAGAATATTTTCCTCTTAAGAATTCTTCTTCTAAGAACCTTATCTAGAAATTACCTACTTTCCAAAGGCTCAACTCAGAAATATGGAGCAATAGTATTTTTAAAATTAAGAATGCAACTATGTATTGAAACAGATAACAGTTGCTTTCATTTTTTAATATCATGACCATAAATGAAGTAAAATACACTTCTCGTTCCCAAATGAAATCACAAAAGTTTCAAGACATAAAACAATAGTCTCTCACTAAACAATTTTCTGCTAAAAGTGGAATGATGATCATTCTTAAGTTTAATATATTCTGATTCTGTAGTTAACTCAGTGTTATCAATCCAAATGCCAGTTAGAAAAATTATCTGAAAGGCAGTAAACTGCTAAAGACCCCTCAGCAAATTAGCAGTTTGAATGAAATACCTTTGAAAACACACCCTATCAAATATCAGCCAACAATGTTCTTTCAACAGATATGTCTTCAACGGTTGTGTTTCTTTGTTACACCCATAACTTGAAAGACTAAAGTAGTACATCTGAGCTATATATGACTGTTTTATATATAAAGTTAGATGCCACATCTAATTAGCCCAAACTGCCAAATTAACATAGGATTTAAAGGACAATAAGAAAACTAAGGATGCATTAATGCAGTAATGTGTTATTATGGTTGCTAGAAATTCTTAAAAGGGACTGTAATGGTAAAATATTGTATTTTTTTTACAATTCAGCATTTTCTCTTTTCATTAGAGTTTGCATGGGAGGGGTGTCAGATTGTTTTGGTATTTTAGTTAGCATTTAGTCCTTTAGTTAGTCTGCATTGTTTCAGTCTAACATTTTAGAAACTGCATTTGAGCTTTTGCTCAGTTTTATATATGTGTGTCTTTCTTTGTACATGTATGTGTGTATACATAAAGCTTTCCCCCACTTTTCCTTGCTTCATTTTTTTGGTTATATGTTATTATGTCTATTGCAACTAATAAATATACTATATATTTCAAAGGAAGCTACTGCCCTGAATTTTGAAGATCTCAGCAGGGCTATTGATAACAGGTGATTTGGAGGTATTTGATTGATAGGATTGCCACAAATTGAAGTTCACTTCATAGTAGTTATCAATAAGCAGATTTTTGGGGTTACCACTGAATTTAGGCAAAAACAAATGCTGGATTACACAACCCAGAAATAATTGCTCAGTTGAGCGTGACAAAGAAAATCCATTCTCTTGGTATATTCTGTCTTAAAATAGGCATAAATGAAAAGGGATTTGACCCTCAATTAGGAGTCAGAGTACTAGAACACATTTTCAGGAAGGATAAACCATTTTGACACATGTCAATTCATCTAAATTGGAAATTGCACTGATGAAACTCCAGTACTGAATACAGTAATACATCCAATTGTGCTTTGAGTCTACTTCAGATAATTTGCTTGTTAGATTCCAGTAATCCACTCTATCTCTCGAGAAGGATGGGCGAAGCAGATTTTAACATTCAGTCATCCCACAGCGTCACCTGCCACCTAATTAATCTGTGAAGTGGCACTAATGGCTTTGAAAACAGTTACGTTGTCTCGCCAATCGGTTAAGAGCATGGTGTCATGACAGGTCAACTAGTGTGCGCTGCAGCAGATAGGCCAAACAAGAAAAAATAGCTACAGATTAATGGCAATTTAAATATTTTTAAAATGATAATGTAGGAAACATATTAGATATTTAAATTAGTGAGGGAAATAATTGAAAATATCATTTTAAGCAAAGACCAGATATAAACATTTAAACATTTAAAATACATTAGTAGCATTAAGTTGGGAATTTTTAAAATCAGAGTACGTATTCAAACAGATTAAGAATTGTTTTCCTCTTAAAATATCATAACCATAAATGAAGGAAAATGCACTTCTCTGTACTTTCTGAAATAAATATTAAAATAACCAATCTATATTACTAGTTGATTGTACATATTGCCAAACTATTACTTGAAAGCATTATAAAAGGAAGCCCTTACTCAAAAGCCACACAAGTTAGAGCTATTTGTAGTTACAAATATAATGGCAGACAGTATGCTTGGTTTTAGATGAAAACAAAGGGGTTCTTCCCCCTCTGGCAGTAAATCATGCATGAAAGGAGGACAATTTTTTCAAAACTGCATATGCCTCACATGCTGCTTCAAAATGGCAAAGCTTGCGTGTCTGGCTCAGTGCCAGTTGACAGCTCAGCTGGATATCAATGCACATTCTGACCCCCCTTGCAGCGTGTCACTTCTGAATTGTTTCCGCAGTAGAAAGTTTATTCAACCTCTTTCTCAAATGCAGTGGACCGACCATCATTCTGCTATTTAATCATAGCAGGACAGGTTATTTTTCTGACAGCACTAAAGCCAGAGAGCAATTCCTAATGAACAGCTTGATACAAGTGGAATTTCGACTATTTTAGCCTCAATTAATTCTGCTGTCAAAACAAATGATTGCTCTTAGTACTTAGATGTTAAGCTGGATCACAAAGGTCAATTTTGTGTGTACAAACATACAAGAAAATCTTTTTGTTGCTAAAATCTGATGCCATTTCATATTTAGCATCAGCAAAAAAATTCAAGTCAAAAAATCAGAAACACATATTAAACTATAAATTCATAGTATCTTCTGAAAGTACCATTTGCAATGCTTCTAAATGAAAAACAAAGCCACTGGCTTTTCTGTACCCTTTTTGACACAATCAGTATCTAAGACATAACAAAGAAAAGAAATGCAAGAATGCTGTTTAGAAATATTTACCATGACTGTCAAATGGGTTAAACTCATATACTGAAAAATCAGGATTACTCCAATTACTTAGAATGTTAGTCTTTGACACAAAACACAAAATTGCACTATTCTTTCTGTAGGAGATAAACATACAGCAAAACCTGAAAAGTTATATAAAAAAACAGCAGCAAGGATTTTAACCCGACAATTGAACATAGAAACAAGTTACCTTACACGAATGCAAGCAAAATGGTATACAGTAAAATCACTTCTATGAAGCTGTATCATAGACAGACTGAAATGAAAACTAGAAAAAGATTTTAAAAATCAAGGACAAGTCATAGCCCATTCCTATAAAATCAACTGAACAAGTCAGTCATGACTAACTCAAGTCAATTGCTTTCAATGGAACATAGTCGCACAACCTAACTTTAGCTGGATTGAAAACTAGATCAATTTCCCAATGAAGCTTTGCTGGATCTCTCTTTTGTGTGTGAGCAGTTGGAAAAATTATTTGAGATTTTAATTATATTTTTATCAAAAGTATAGCATATACCGTTCAAGAGAAACCAGAAACCAGAAAAAGGTTCTATATAAAAGGGACTTTACAACATGGAAAATTCTTTCTTTTCCTTTTTTGTTGGATAGTACATCTAAATATACAAAACGTCTTTTAAATAGTATTCAACTACTTTCTATTTCACTGTACAAATTTGAAAGATCCTTCTGATCATAGCCCAGTTTCTATCACAGTAGTCTTGCCAATACTGGCCTCGTCTATACTTCTGATATTTTCTGTATACTTTCTACTTAGCAAATGATTTATAAACAAATGAATTTCATTTGTTTATATTTCATATGGCAGGCATCCTCAGACCTCACCTCTGAGGATGCCTGCCATAGATGCAGGCGAAACATCAGGAGAAATGCCTCTAGAACATGGCCATATAGCCCGAAAAAACCCACAAGAACTGAGTGATTCCGGCCATGAAAGCCTTCGACAATAAAATGAATTTCTGATCATGTTATTGTACTTTTTCAGAAAACTTGCTACACCCACGTATGTGGACATATGCACGAAGGTGATCCATTATAAAGTAATAGACTGTGTGCAAATGAAGCATCTGATATAAAACTATATGGAGTGGAAATGGTGCTCCAGCACACAGACCTAGAAGGTAGGGAGGGAGCATGTAAACCTCTCAAAGACTTCTGGATATCAATTTCCTTAAAGTACTGAGCAGCATTTAGTCAACTAGAAAAGGAATGGGTGCATAGAAGCTACAGCACCAAATTCTTTATCTTAGCTTCTAGAACAAGTGTTTGGTAATAGTATCATTGTGGAATAGTAGAAGCAAAGGCCAGTAAACCTGATTTTGGATCCTTACATATTTTATAGAAATTCATCCAATTTGTAAGCATCACCACTTTTCACATTCTACTGTATGATAGAGAAAATAAGAGCTATTTCATATTACTCCCCCCCCCCCAAAAAAAAATCTGGATCAATCTTTCACTGCCTTCTTCACTCTCAATACAAACAATTTGCTCTGCTTTCCATTTTAACATTCCCATACTGCTACTTTTTAATGTTTTCATATTTTCTAAGTAACAATGACTTTCTGGATGGAAAACTGATGAATAATAAATGCACAAAGCTCCTCTAATTCAATTTTATCCTCTTTATGATCAAGCACCCCTCCCTTAAAATTCAAAGTTGGAGATTAGCATGTGAGATAAGTAGTATAAGAGAAGCAAGTATATGTGATCTTAATGCATGTAGACACATGTTTGGTGGAGGGGAAGAAATGCAAAGACTTTTAATTATCTAGATTTGAAGAAAATCCAGTTTGAAGAAGGATCTCTGCCCCTTATGGGTTACTACAGAACCACAATGGAATCCATGGGAAAATTCAATATGTCTATTTCTGAGCTGCAGATATCAGAATAATAGGGAATGAATCTGAACACATGGTGGATTCTGTGCATTATTTACGCATTTGACCACAAGATCATATCCCTGAACCTCTCTCACACTTACTGTCAGTGGTTAAGGAAAAGTAAGTGATTTTTCTCAGCTCCAATATCCTGATATCTGCTCCTTTCCTTATTTCTACTCCCTGTCTACTCAAAGAATTCCCTACTGCACCTTCATCTGCCAAAATAAAGAAAATCAATATCTGTTTTTAAACAACTAACGTAGTGATGCAGAAAGTTTCACAGCCTGTTTCACTATAAAAAAGAAAAAAAGATAACTACAGTGGATGGCTAAAGTGAGAATGATATGGATTATGAGCATGCCAATGTTCAAGTAAAGCATAAAAGTCGTTTCTGAAAAAGAAAGGGCAAAAAGCACTCAAGTACATTTATGAATAATGAAAATCCTAATCAATTTGTCCCTCCAAACACAGTGATATGTGAGATCCTACTGTTTCTTCACAATGGTAAACAAGGATACTGATACTCATCCTGCTGTGTTTAAGGTCCTAATATTTCACCAAAGCTTAGTAGTTGCGTTATTATTGATTTTTTTAAAATGTCTACTCTCCCAACAATGTTACATCCCAGTCTTATTTTCATTGCCAATTGTGAGGTCTGGAAATAACATATAGGTTTTCTTTTCATGTCAGGACTGATTTGAGAAATTGTAAGTCACTTCTGGTGCGAGAGAATTGGCAGTCTGCAAGGACTTTGCCCAGGGGACACACTGATGACTTTTTGATGTTTTACCATCCTTGTGGGAAGCTTCTCTCATGTCCCCACATGGGGAGCTGGAGATGACAGAGGGAGCTCATCCGCGCTCTCCCCAGATTCGAACCTGTGACCTGTTGGTCTTCAGTTCTGTCAACACAAGGGTTTAACCCATTGCACCACCGGGGGCTCCTATATAGAATATATAGAATATAATCTATACAATATAAAATTCAATATAAAATTCAAAAATATTTTCCCTTGACATTAAGTCTGGTCAGATCTGACTCTGGGGAGTGGTGTTCATCTTCATTGTCCATAGACACCTCCTAGGTCATGTGGCTAGCATGACTACATGGAGCGCAGGTACCTTTTCCTCCAGAGTGGTACCTATTGATCTACTCACATTTGCAAGTTTTCCAACTGTTAGTTCGGCAGAAGCTGGGGCTAACAATGGGATTTCATCCCGTCCTGCGGATTTGAACCACCGACCTTCCGGTCAGCAAGTTCTGCAGCTTAGAGGCTTAACCCGCTGTGCCACTGCGATCCCATATCTATGAAGGGTGCATGTACCAAATTTAGTCTTTTTTCTTGTTCACAGTGCTCTCTGGATGTAGATAAACGATAACTCTTATACATCCATCCCTCCAAAGACCTCCAGTATGTTTCAGTGGTCATGAGGGTCTGTGTGCCAAGTTAGTTCCAGGTCCATCATTTGTGGGGTACGGAGTGCAGGTGAACTATACATCCTAGTACCTACAATACCTATAAATCAAGATGAATTCCTCCCAAACCTTTCCAGTATTTCTTGTTGGTCATGTGTGTGCCAAATGTGGTCCAGGTCCATTGTTGGTGGGTGTCACAGTGGTCTGTCTTGATGCAGGGTGAACTACAATATTCATTCTGTTGAGTCAGTCCCCTAAAACCCCTCTAGTATGTTCGGTTACTGATCAATTCCTCTGTTTGCTGTGTGCCATAGTTAAGGGTAGCATATGGTTAAGGTAGAGGCAGTGGGCGGGGTCATGCAAATAACACAGAAATGGAGAAAATCAGAAATACTGGGATGCGAAGGGAACACATCAAATCTAGGATGAAACTGTCTCCGTATGAAAGCCTTCACTTAGGTGGTGGGCAGTATGGTGTTTGCGGAGGACATTAGCAGGGGTTGGGAGACATGTTCATGAGGCTTACTGTAATCTACACTGTCTTTGGAGGAAGTGCTCTGGTGGCTCCTCAGCACTGTAGGTTAAAGCTGTTTGTGGAGGCCAGAGGCTGTCTGTGTAAGAGGACATCTCCGCCACATACACACATTTTCACTTTTATTATGTGCATAGATTTCAGTGTACTGTATTCGATTTCTATTTTTTTTATTGTGAGAACAGCAGTTTTGCAAGAAGAATTGACTTCATAGGTGGCTAGAAAAAATCTAGTCAACTGCAGTTTGCTGACCAGAGTCAAAACATTAATTCTTTCGAATCAAATTATCTAATTCCTGTTTCTCCAAACACACTGCCTGACTACAAAAAGCTAGACAAAATCATAATATCACAGATTCATTTGACCTCAATTCCTATTCAAAACTACCTGCCAATAAATATTTTCAAAATCATATTGCTCACATTTGCAGCATGTTTTCAACCATTCATGTCTATATATATATTATCATAATTTCCCTGGCTATCCATGATTTTCAATATTATTTTTTATTCAAAAACATAAAGCAACACATCTACAAGCAAACGAAAGTAAAAGCAATAATTAAAAATACACAAATGTAGAGAACAGTCTCACCCACCCACAAAAACAAAACTATAGACACTTTTGCTTAATATAAAAATACTACCACAGCTAACAAAGCAAAATCAAAAACAATCATCCTTACTATAACTACCCCACCCCTCCACCACTAAACATATACTACATATATAACAATAATACTTAATCTACAAGCCGCACACTCCTTGCCTTGTCATTTTAACTTAATTTTTATGCCCATAAAATATTACCCTTATATTGGCACTCTTCTAATTAAAAAAAACTAATCAATAGTCCTTGTAACAACCCTGCAGTTCGACTGGAAATACGAAGTTAAATTCACTACCCTCTAGTATCGATCAAGATTTTTAAAGCCCATTACATCTCCCCATGACTCTTAAAAGATGGGGGGAGGGCACCCTGAGTTGGTTTAGGGGCAGTTCTAAGGGTTGCAGGGAAAGGAATTTGTAACAAAGCCTTAGTATATGTGTACAGAGGGTTAATACTTTAGTTAGACAGATTCTGAATAGATTTTTAAGCATTGAAAAATCAAGAATACATTAAAATAAACATTTTAATAAGGATCATATATGCATATTAATAACCATTTAAGAAAAAAGATGTATATAATCATGTAAACAAATACACAAGGAAATCATATATCCATTACTTGTATTCTCTTACCAGGTCTCTCTTTGCCAGTGCCTTTTGATTCAGCAAATTTTTGTACCAAATTTTCAACTGTTGTATTTGTCATGTTGTTGATAAATTCTTCATGGACCTTTTGGGGGAAAACAGCACGATTAAAGTTTGATGTGCTTCGGTAAATGAAACATTTTTAATTATTCATATTTGGTTATTACTTTCTAGGACACATTCGCAATTAGAGTCAAGCTAGCTCTAAAGAATCATGAAACTAGTTCTGTAACATCAAGCTGACTTTAGGCAAGTATTCCTTAACTCTCCTATTGCCCTTCCAAAGAGTTAATAGAAACTTTTCATCAGACACAGTACACTTAATGAGTAATATCCAATGGTTGTGGCAGTCAAAGGCAATTGTGCAGCTGATGTTTCATCCATTCTTCCTTTTCTTGTAACCCCAAAAAGCTTCAGGAGTTATGCTATACAGGGGCTACAGCTTAAGGAAGAAATTAATGTATACACTTGTGTATAAGTCAAGAAATTCTAGTAAAAAAAATAAATGAAAGAAACTGACATTACTACTACTAATAATAATAATAATGTATGCCTGCCTCTCCTTGCCATTCCTCTAAAACACTAAGGAGTCACTCTCAAAATTTTGCTACCCAGGTATTTAAAAAAGGAGAAAAGCAGTGCCATGGCAGAGGAAATAGATGGGGTTAGTGTTTCTTTTAGATTCTCCCTGGATTGGCTAAGCTTTCATCTTCTACTATTCTATTCAGAGAAGGGGGTGGTTCTTTTTGCACAGGAGTTAATGCTGTGCCTTTGCTTTTATATAAAAAGGAACATAGGCCTTTATTGGCCTATTAAAAATGCCTCCAAATGTTAAACTACTCACTTGCAACAGGAAACATGAGCAGGATGGCAATACAGGGACAAGACCTTGCCACAAAGCTAAATACAACTCTGTTTCCATATCTAGTTTGGGAGCAATATTACAGGGGCCAATAACATCACTTGCAACATTAGAGATGCATTTATTTACTTGCTCTTCCTCCAATACGGCATATGCCATTCTATGCCAGCAATGTTTTTTCTACATTGAAAAACAGGGCACTCATACAACAAGATTATTGGGACACTAATCTGACACTAAAAATGGCAGTAACCCAAAACTACTTACTTCAACCATTTTCTACATATGGCAAAAGTAACAGAGGACTAATCTATTGCAACGAACACTCAAGTCCTCATCTAATTTCATCAACTTTACTCCAGCAAAATGTAATAGGAAATTAAATAAAAGCCTTACTAAATTGTATTAGATTTTCAGATGAAATACATACATCTTAACTCATAATCTGATAAATCAAAGAAGCAACCAAAAACTCACCTCACCAATTTGTACATGAACTTCTTTTACTGTATTTGAAAAACATTCTATTATCTCTTTCATGTGGAGGAGATGCATTTCTTCAATATCTTGAAATTTCTGCATGCACCACAAATATTTTTAATAGATAGTTTAGTACAATGTGGAAAACAGGTCATGAAAAAACAGAACTTCACATACTGAACTATAGGTACAGGCAGTACAGCCAACTTACAAACAACTCATAGTCACGAACGGGCCTCTCCTCCCTCTATCTGGCATGAAATCTTAGCACTGAACCAAAGCATGTCTGTATCTCTCTAAACACACTCCTTCCTTCCTTCTTCTTCTTATCAATATCTTTCCAAACCCCTTTTCCCTGTTCTTTATGTCGATTTCTCCAAACCCCTTTCCCCTGTTCCTATCGATGTCTCCAAAACCCCTTTCCCTTTTCTTCCTATTGATCTCTCCACCTCCCCCTTTTTTCCCATCAATATCTCCTTTGACCTCCCTGTATCTCTCCACTTCTCATCTCCTTTCCTTCATGTCTGACAGTACTGTTAATTGCCCTGGCTCAATGCAATGCAGGATTTGTCATTTAGTGAGGCAGCAACATTTTTTGACAGAGAAGGCTAAAGACCTTGCAAAACTACAGTTGCCAGAATCCCATAGCACTGAACCAGGGCAGTTAAAGTCACGTCAAACCGAATTCATTTTACAACATTAATAATTCCAAGGCAGCTGGGGCAGGATAAATAGGAGAGGCTCCTTGAGCAAAGGTTATCTATTTCTATGGTTTTCCTTTCTATTGCTTAGAAGCTTTGGTGTTTTTTGTTTTGTTTTTTTTAAGCAATTCTAATTACAAAGGAACTACAATGTGCTTCTTTCTTCCCCAAAATTACAGAGTACACTTTTTGCTCGACCTGTCCCAACTTACAAATTCAACGTAAGAATGAACCTACAAACCCGATCTTGTGTGTAAATTGGGGACTGCCTGAATTGGGTTTTTACTTTATGATCTAATAACTAGTTTGCTTTCAAGTTTAGGAATATGAAAATCATTACCCACTAAGTTTCAATTTGCTTACTCTAAGAAAGACTAAATATAGACACAACTGACAGAAAATAAGGCTTCAGTTTACCTGTGCGGTTTCAGTCATTTTGTGTTCAAAATCAGATTTTGCTGCAGCATACTTTTCTACATAAAGTCTGTAAGCATCAGTAGCTTTCTTGGATTTTACTGCTGCCTGAAGAAATAACGAAGTATGAGTATAACGTACGAAAAAAATCATACAATATAATTCCTGCCTGTGTGTGTGTGTGTGTGTGTGTGTATAAGTCACCTGTCAACTTATGGTGGCCCCATGAACTTCCGAGGGTTTTCTTAGGAAATGAATATTCAAGAGGGAGTTTTGTAAATTCGCCCCACTGAAATATAGCCTACAGCATTTGATATTAGTCTGTAGTCTCCCATCCAAGTATTAACCAGGACCTGGTGTCTTTAGAATATTTAGGCCCTGACTTGACTACCCCCCCCCCTTTTTTTGTGTAAAGATTTGCTCATTCACAATAAATCCCAATTGTCACCACACGAGGGCTCACAGTAACAACATACCATATAAAATGCTGCTCCAAAAATCACCTTCATTTTCCCATATTGTGAAGGCAGGCAGCATATTAACGTAAACTTACATAAAGCAAGAAGTCAATATCAAGGGTATTGTTTGAAGTAATTACATAGCTAAAGCCAAAGGATGGCTGCTAATATTGTCTAACATATTTTAAAATTAACTCAGCAATTAACTAAGGCATGGACCACTGTGGCCAAGTCAGGCTTTTCGAGATACATAATTGCATACATAATTGAACTGCCATATATGTATTTGAATTTCCATTAAGAAGTCTTTCATTTTAGTTACATTGTACAAAATTAGTATACCAACACATTCATTAAATTTTCCAACTAGCATTTAGGGTAAATTTGACTTCAAACATGGAAATCAAAGAAACAAAATCTGGGATTAGCAAAGGGATAAAATACACAATGTATTCAAATGCCCCTACAAAATCAATGAAGAAATCTTGCCCATTTATGGTATCAGAGTCTACTGCACATCAGGCAATACTTAAGTTAGGCAGATTTCTGATTATAAGATTTATTCTGCTATTCTTTGTATTTGTTCACCTGTAAATACAGCCAAAGCAAAATAATGTACAATTTAAATTAAAGAACAACGTGCCTCTGAGAACACTGCAAATCTAACCATTCATTTGTAGTGTTTGAACAGATTTATTTCTGGCTATCAAATCATTTTCAGCAGTGGCCAGATTATGGTAGAAAAAGTTATTTTCTCACAACCTTGTTAATACAACTGGAAATCAAAAACCTCTGCGGGTTAGCAGATATCGATCCACCAGCAGATGACAAAGAATGCTCCCCAGATACTTAATAGGTTATAATTTATTTTTTTGCTGATTATTGCTTTAAAGTATCTGACATAGTAACCTGAAAGGAGTTTAAAAGGTTAATTATTCAAAGAAGCCCAGTGAAACTTTCTTGTGTGCGGTATATTTTCATAAGATTATATTTATCAAAGATTCTACATACAAAGAACTGCATATAAATATGTGCACACACAACTGAAACCAATAAGCAAATAGGGTAACATGCTATTACTCTAATTAATATTGGCTGTTTCATAACAATTAAGACATTTATTGGGTTGCTGTAAGTTTTTCGGGCTGTATGGCCATGTTCCAGAAGCATTCTCTCCTGATGTTTCGCCTGCTAGATTTATTGGCAGGCGAAACGTCAGGAGAGAATGCTTTTGGAACATGGCCATACAGCCCAAAAAACTTACAGCAACCAAGTGATTCCGGCCATGAAAGCCTTCGATAACACAAGACATTTATTACTTTTCATTCTGGAAACAAAACAAAAGAAGCAATTCTGCAAGTAAGTTTTCTATTTTGCACAAATATACCACAAAGAAAACAATTCCATAACTGTTACCTTGTCTATTTCTCTCTGTGTTGCACCTTCCTTTTTCAAACGCTCTTGTTCCACACATTTTGAATTGTAGTTTTCTTTTGCTTTTTGGAGGGCCTGGGTAATACTCTGAATGGTTTGCACTGCTTCCAGAGTCCCTGAAACTTCTTCTTTAGTCTGCAAAATATTACATGTGTGTCAAACATTGCCAATTATTTTGTCAGAAATCATTAAAATTTATTAAACAGTATACACAACCTTTTTATGAGCTTTGATTTGTTCATCTCCATATTTCTGTACTTCTTTAATTAGTTCTTGCAACTTCCGAACAAGTTCTAAGTGGCAGCTTGCTAATTTTTCCGTTGATGATTTGAAAACTTCCCATACTGGTGAAAATGTCCTAATAAGAATAAAAAAATACACTTAAGTATAAACAGCTTCTAAGCATTTCCAAAAAAGTTCAGTGTAGATGTTTTTATAGTGTATGGTATCCTATTGGTATAGCATACTATTTATCTTTTACCTGTTAACAAACAAAACAAATGTAAATACCATTCTTGTTCATATATTCTCATGCCAAAATGGACTATGAACCAAAGGTTCAATAGCTACTGCTAATGCTGCTAATGATCAATGCGGTTGAATACAATTTGTTGAACTCTTATAGAAATAAAATAATAACACTGACATTTTAATTTCTCCTTAATTTTTTTCAGATAGAAAGAACAATTTCACTTGGATTCTCAGCCTTGCAAATCCTTTCAGATTCTGGAGATCTGGTATGCATTAGAACTGTGACATGTGGACTGAGACAACGGAGGCACTCACAAAATGCAAGTATTCCTGCTCAAATATTTGCAAACATAACTCTGCTTGCCACAACCTCAAGAAAACTGCCAAGAAGTAACAACAGTAATGTCTTATTTCTTCAGATATATTTCTAAATACACTAGGCCTGCATATTATACAAGGGGTCCATTCCATGCCCTTTGTGTAACAATGATTTTTGTGTATTAACTGGAATACTTCCTCCTAGTTAGTATGCTGCTGCAAGCTGAAAATACTGTACAGTTCATAGTTTAATATTCCCCTTCCTTCACCTGCAGCCTCACGGACAGGAGAAAAGCTGAAGGGAATATTCACATGTTGGGGAACAGCTCCCTGGTGTCTGGCTGTGCGGATCCATACATTTGTCTCAGTTGAAAAAAGAGTCAGTCCTTGGCAGAAAGAAATAGATGGAGGTCCAACTGCATTTCTCTCTGCAGAAAAAAAGTGCTTCCCTTCTCTGTAGGGAGAAATGACAAAAGACTGGTTGCTTTTCCAGGCATTGGTCACTTCTCTCCATCAAGAATGGAGACAGATTCCTTTCTCAGCAGATAAAAGCACAGGGAGACTTTAGTCATTTCTTTAAGCAGAGAAAGGAGACAAACTCCTTTCTCAGAAAAAAGACATGGATGGCTTCACACAGTCGATTTGGCACCTGCTGATCTGACACCCAAAGTTACTTTTGGGAGTTAATTATTGGGAGTTCACCTGGCCCTCAGCTGTCTTTGCCTTCGTCCATGGAGAAGGTTTTCACATATAATTGAAAATGTGTACTACAAACTCACGTAATATGCATGTTTATTGTACTCAAACAGTAGAAAAGGCAGAAACGTGACCAGCATACAGTTTATCGGTTCAACACTTCTCAGTGTAGAAAAGAAAATCTGTGGAAAATCTGTGGACGTCCTACTTTTACACATCAACTTACCCAATTTGTGAATAATTACTTGCTGATTTGGCTAGTTTTGTCATTGATCTTGAATATGTTTCTTCTATTGCAGCCCTATTAACAACAAAGAATAAACATAATATATCCTAAATATAAAATTAACATATATACTTGAGTATAAGCCAACCCATATCCATCCATCCATCTAGCTATCTATATATAAAAGCCGAGGCACCTAAATTTACCACAAAAAAACTGGGAAAACTTATTGACTCAAGTATAAGCCTAGGGTGGGAAATGCAGCAGGGACTGGTAAATTTCAAACGAAAATAGATACCAATAAAATTACATTAATTGACCCAACACCTTCCCCCCAGGATCCTCACTCGAGTATAAGTCAAGGGGGCCTTTTTCAGCATAAAAATGTGCTGAAAAACTAGTCTTGTACTCGAGTATATACAGTAATACAGAACTTAAGTCAGCCATACTTGACTTAACAATAACTATTTGAACAACCTCAGAATTGATAGCGTTAAAATTAGTCAAAAGAAGATTTAAAGAGCATTGTTCTCAATATTGGTTTGATTTCTGAATTTTTATTCATATCATTAGAAATAGTTTTTTATTTTTAATATTTAAGCAAAATAAATGTAAAATCTAAATTGCCAACTTGAGTCTTTATAATAGAAAAAGGCAGAATAAATATAAAACAAAAATAATTTTTAAAAGTAAAAACATGTAGTATGTATATTGTTCTTCATCATAACTTGGGTATACAAATATCAATTCAAGGTATATACCATGATATCATTTAACAAAAATATATTGTTCTAGAACTAGGGGAGTCTGATCTACAATGTCACCCAGAATTTACAGACAAGAACTTTGTACCCTTATTTTTTTTTCAGTCACCACTATCTCAAATAAATGCACAACTCAGCCATTGTGACCATCAGATCATAAAAAAAAAGTCACAATAGCACCATGCATTATGCTATGCAGTAGATATAAACAATGCATCTTATCAGATGTAGCACACCATAGTCAGAGTCAACTTGGCAGGCATATAAAAGCATTGACCACAGCAATAACAAAACAAAAACAAAGATGGTGTAATCAGTAAGCTGAGATGTCCTGGTCAACTAAGTTCTCACTCTATACAATTTGATCTAATATATACCTCGCAAAAATATTCCTCTAGGAGGCAACTAATTTTAGATCAGCTGCATGGTTGATTCCCTAATGTCAAGGATGTTGCAATGACATTTTAAGGCAGGTTTAAGCCAGGAAATATTTGATTTTCAGAAATGCAGTTTAAAGCATTTAAATGGATTTTAGTCTCTAAGAAGTATCCCATGATGTCAAAAACAGTTGGAATGTAAACTCAGATTTGTTTAGACAACTTGACAAGCAGAAAACATTATACCTAAGAGGTAAACTGATATGCTCTAAGATATCTTTGACCATATTCAAGGAGAGTGAATCTTGTGATTCAAATTACAGCATCAGTTTTGTATTAGATGAGGCCTAATGAAAATTATACAACACAAGAAAATATTCTCTGTCTAAAAACAACATGCTATCTATCACTAAATCCAGTGGTCTAATAACCGAGCAGATCTTTGGTAAACATGGACAGAGACATCAAATTATCTAAGGAAGAAAAAAACAAAGAAATGGGACAAATTCTGGAACAGGAAACAAGAATGGATAGATGCACAATTAAGCTATTTTAAAACTTTACATACATTGTCATTAAAATATATCTGTCTCATCTTTTGTTAAAATGTGCAAGATAGGAACCATTTTAAAAAGAAAAGTTGCATCATTCCATTTATACTTCAAGACTCCATCAATATCTGTCAAGTTACTAGAAATTTATGCTTGCCTCTGTGAAGGTAAATTTAGAATGAAAAAGCAGACATTCCCAATTTTTATTATGCTGATTTATGTCTGATTTCCTCTTAACTTTTTAATCAACTGAATCCAATTCAAATTTTATATAACTGTCTTCTCAAATAGCTCACTTTTCTCACTATGCACTTTAAGTTCAGTCTGCAGTTAACAAGTAACTTAGAATCCAAAACAAAACCTATTCTATTATTAAGTCAAACTTCATAGGACCTTAAATGAAAAATGCCTAGTAGGCACAGTATTGCAATTTGAGGTTGCAATTCAAAGCATACCTTTCTAGAAATTAGTTTCCACTGAAATAAGAGGAACTGACTTCCAAGTAAAAACACCTAAGAGTTCATGTGTTAACTAAGAATGTGTTACACGTGGGAAAATAATCTGAGAATCTTCCTCAAAAATGTGGCATTTATATTTTGTTAAAACCCTAGTTTTATATTTTTATAAAAAATATATTTTTATATTTTGTTAAAACCCTAGTTTAGGGATTCCTGCTGTAGACATAGAGGATGCCAGATTGGTTTGCATTAAGCCTAGTACAATGTATATGTAACAGTAGGGTTTTTTTAAAAAAAAATCTGAATTTTTGTTATTTCAAAAAAAAATTCTCCACAAAGGGGATGAGGGTTGTGGAGCTCTGGTTAGTAAATCAGAATTATATAAATGTCTACTATGTCACCAAGGAAGAGGAAAGGGATGGAGGGAGAAGAGAAACCTTATATTTGTTATAATTATTACATCTATGTCTTCATGCAACCGTAGTTTGGGGGGGGGGGGGTACTCTGAGAAACCTTCTTCATCCCTAGGATAGTTTCTAATGGCTCAGAGAATCTGTATTGGGAATAAGTCTTCTACTGACGGGAGGGTTCTATCTGACCCCGAAGATCCAAGACAGGCAGAATACAACAAAAGCTCAAAACGCTTCTGCCCTGCACACTTGCTAGGGTTAGGGGCACAGTTCCCCAGTGAAATAATGTGAATTAAAAATCTGTTTTTATTTATTTATTTACAGTTCTTATATTCCGCCCTTCTCACCCTGCAGGGGACTCAGGGCGGATTACAGTAAACACATATATGGCAAACATTCAATGCCAGTTTGACAAACAACCTAACAGACAAATACACCGAGGCTATTTAACTTTTTCTGGCCGCCAGGGGAGCTGCTGCTTTTCATCGTCCATCAACGACACCGATGAAGTTCTTCCGCATTCCACATTCCCCGGAGTCTTTTCTTTATGGCCTCATAAATTAGTTAAATTTAGCCTCCCACACAAGGTGGTACCTTATTTTCCTACTTGACAGATGCAACTGTCTTTCGGGTTGCAAAGGTCGACAACGGGCTACACAATGGCTGGACACCCACTCCAGCCCGGGCTGGCTTCGAACTCATGACTTTTTGGTCAGAGTGATCTTAATGCAGCTGACACTCAGCCAGCTGCGCCACAATCCCGGTGTATTTAAAGAGATAAAACTGATTACAGCAGTGGTTCTCAACCTGTGGGTCCCAGATGTTTTGGCCTTCAACTCCCAGAAATCCTAACAGCTGGTAAACTGGCTGGGATTTCTGGGAGTTGTAGGCCAAAACACCTGGGGACCCACAGGTTAAGAACCACAGCTTGAGCATGACTCTGTTGAAATATGATAATACAGTCCCACTGGAGAACCCACACATTCCTAAAGAGGTGTTCTCTCTAGGTCTTCCAATGTGACTCTATGGTCAACTTCCAGAGGAATTTCCACTGGAGGACATAGATTCCTAGAGATAACACTTTAATCAAATCTGTGAATAATCAAATTAGTAAAAGTCAAACTCATAAACGTGGTGGGATAACTATAAAGCATATCAATTTGAATGCATCATGTGCATTTCTTGGTGGAAAATAGTTTATTCTTTTAATCAAACCAGACTTGCATACAGTTTTAGCAGAGAAAGCAAGCTGTGGTTGTGTATTGGCTTAGTTGTGAAATAATAGTTTCAATTCTATTTTGCAAAATCAGCATAAATATTTTAAATCCTTTCTTTATTTTGCTGACTAAAAAGTTATTTCTAAGGATAAGCTGTGATGGAAAGAACTCCCAACTCTCTGGTATTTGACTAAGTATTACTAGTCTAGGCTTGCCGATAAAACCCCTTATCCTCTTCGGATTCCACTTTTGTAATTATGGAAGCAGATCTGCTAGTCTGGTTCAGTACATTTAGATGTGGCTATAATCATAATATGATACTCTGACATGGCAGACTTGTTATGGAATTGCCCCATGAAAAAACTATCTTCTCCACTGGGACACAATTCTCACTCCCAGTTGTACACTTACACAGTGCAACTCTTTCAGGAGTATTACCATTCTCTGAAAGCATTTTTGAAGTCTATGTATATATAGTGTATAGTTCAAAGGACTAAAGGGTCCTTTATTCAGAAAAGGAATGGTTTCCTGTAACTGTGTTTCTTCGAGTGGTTATCTGTAATATTTGCACTTATGGTACTTCCTATGCCTCACCAGTGAGCTTCGGAATCCTCTAGACAGCTGAAAGTCTTTGGACTGCAGCTCCGCACACCTTTTTCAGGAGGTATATAACCAGTGGGAGTGACTGTAGCCTCAGTTGCTGTGCCACAGAGCAGCAGCGACAGAATCAAGGCATGACAGAAAGTGGGGAGGACGGACAAGGACTCATTCTGGTCACGTAATTCTGTTGCTGCTACTCTCCCTTACTCGCTCTCTGGTGATGGGAGTTGGAGAAGCATGCCCTCTGTATTGGTATAACTGCATCTAAAGACCATGTGATTTACGTTACTCTGAAGGACTGTTATTTTTGACTACAAGCTTTTTTCTGTTTTTGAACTCTGCTGCGTAAATTTACTTTTCCTCTTTTGTGCCTTGTTACTGTGTCCTTAGTGGACAAGCTTCTGCATTAACCGCAAAAGAGTAGACATTAAAAGTAGTCAATACAGTTTGTTTCAAGTTTAAGGAGGGAAGGGTACAAGCCTTATTCAAACCATACAGTTCAATAAGCCTGAAGCCCAAAGTCAAAAACCAGTCCAAGTCAAAATAACTATGAGAAAAAAAACCCCACAGAGTCTCAAGGTAAGTTGCTGACACATTCCAAGCTGCTGCGATGTCAGCGGATCACAGGAACCGAGGCTACAGCCCCTCACATTGGTTATATTTCTCCTGCAGAGGGTGGGCGGGGCAACAGCCAGAAGACTTTCAGCTGTCTATAGGATTCCGAAGCTCACTGCGCAGAGGCAGGAAGTAGCATAAGTGCGACTTTCACAGAGACCACGAAGAAGAATCAGTCTTCACCAAGACAGTAAAAACCATTCCCTTAAACCAGTGGTTCTCAACCTTCCCAATGCTGCAACCCCTTAATACAGTTCCTTAGACTACTGCAACACTCTCTACGTGGGGTTGCCTTTGAAGACGGCCCGGAAGCTCCAACTAGTCCAACGTTCGGCAGCCATGATACTAACAGGAGCGGAGCGCAGGGAGCATACAACTCCTGCTGCACCAGCTCCACTGGCTGCCGATCTGCTACCGGGCTCAATTCAAAGTGCTGGCGTTGGCCTTTAAAGCCCTAAACGGTTCTGGCCCAACTTACCTATCCGAACGTATCTCGGCCTATCAGCCCACCAGGACCCTAAGATCTTCTGGGGAGGCCCTGCTCTCTATCCCGCCTGCTTCACAGGTGCGGCTGGCGGGGACGAGAGACAGGGCCTTTTCTGTGGTGGCCCCTCGGCTATGGAACGCCCTTCCCATGGAGGTAAGATCAGCCCCCTTGCTGATGGTGTTCCGAAGAAGATTAAAAACCTGGATGTTCGAACAGGCATTTGGTTAACTCAGTGCAATTAATGTAATGATTAAGGATTGGCAATATGGACAACGAACTGGATCACGATTTTAGTCAGGAGATGTATTGGATTGTTATTGATATGTGAATTGTGTATTATGCTTTTATGGTTTTAAATTGTATACTGTTGATTGTTATATTTTGTTGTAAACCGTGTTGAGTCGCCGGCTAGGCTGAGAAACAGCGGTATACAAGCATAGTAAATAAATAAATAAATAAATAAATTCCTCATGTTGTGGTGACCCCCAACAATAAAATTATTTTAGTTGCCACTTCATAAGTGTAATTTTGCTAATGTTATGAATCATAATGCAAATATCCGATCTGCATGATGTGTTTTCATTCACTGGACCAAATTTGGCACAAATACCTGATATGCCCAAATCTGAATACTGGTGGGGTTGGGGGAAGTGATTTTGTCATTTGGGAGTTGTAGTTGCTGGGATTTATAGTTCACCTACAATCAAAGAGCATTCTCCACCAGTGATGGAATTGAACCAAACTTGGCAGACAGAACTCAAATGACCAACAGTAAATACTGGAAGGGTTTGGTGGGCATCGACCTTGAGTTTTGGAGTTGTGGTTCACCTACATCCAGAGAACACTGTGAACTCAAACAATTGATTGATCTGAACCAAACTTGGCACGAATATTCAATATGCCCAAATGTGAACACTGGTGGAGTTTGGGGGAAATAGACCTTGACATTTGGGAGTTGTAGTTGCTGGGATTTATAGTTCACTTACAATCAGAGCATTCTGAACCTCACCAACAATAGAATTGGGCCAGACTTCCCACACAGAACCCCCATGAGCAACAGAAAATACTGTGTTTTCTGATGTTCCTCACCGACTCCTCTGACACCATCAGGGGTCCTGACCTCCAGGTTGAGAAACACTGCCTTAAACTGTTTATGCTTTACAATGAATGCTAATGAGGAGATATCTAATCTGAGAGAACTTCAGTAAGTATGTTGTAGCAACAGTGAATCAGTATTTGTAACTGATCCAATGAAGATTACAACACTAGTGAACGGCGGACTATCATGTGACTGTGGTTCTTATCACATGTAATATTATATACTGTATTTTCACCATGATTAGCAAGCTCCAAAATGAAGGGCTTTATATGGTAAATCACAAACTAGCATAAAAGTACATTAAGCACTGGAAACACACCCACACCTGCTCTCAGCATAAAATGACTCCATACTTTCAACAGGATTTCTTCTTTAACATTTATACTGTAACTGCACTGAAAATTATTTACATATTAGTCACATTCTTTTTTTTTTAAATCCCCTAATAATTTCATTTGGTTGATGCCGTTTTCTCCATTAAATTGGTGGCCAAAAATATACTGTTGGGCCAAGAAAAGCTAAAAATGGGGTGTGCCAAAACACTCTGGGCTTTGGTGCATCCCTACCCCCCTTTACAATGCTGGATTTCAAAAGACAGCACAGGGCACACGTCAGGTGCTAGGCTTTTTATCTATTGTTAACAGTCATTTGAAATAAAATTTAAATTGATAAAAAATGATCAAGCATCCAAACAACAAAACACACACACTGGAATGAAGACTTCCCTCTGAGTAAACAAATATAGAATTATGCTGTAATAGTGTCACACAGCCATATTAGCTTATATACTAGTTGGGCATGATCATTTTTTTAAAGTTTCAAACAATATAGCAAGAGTATTGAAATAATAGTCTGTAATATTATATCACGATTTAAAGCATTCAAATATTTGTAAAATGCCAACATAAGAAGATAACAAGGACACTTACCTTTCTCTTATAAAATCTGCTAGCTCTTTTGTAGATACATGTCCGTGTTTCATGTTATGATAGAGAACATCGAAGCCATTGTTCCTTTCCCCCTAAGATTAAAACAAAGCCATCAAAGTTTTGTCATAGTTTGGGGGGGGGGGGTCAAGCTACATAGAATGAAAAACAGAATTAAGCTTAATAGCATTGTTTACATTTTTTTTCTATCTTGTTTTCCATCTTGTGTTACTAAGGGTTTCTCATCCAGAGATAATCCCAGATACTGAATCAGCATTTCAGTAGTTCATGAACTAGAAAATATATTATGCAATGAAGTATAATATGAAGCTATATTGCCTAATATTCTCAACATCTGTATACTGATGTTATGTGGCCTGCAAAGATCATGCATAGTGCATGGGCATGCATGATGCCTACAGAAGTCAATACGTAGGCAAAATTTGAGATTGAGAATGAATGAACATTTTTATCCTCTCTGTAAGGTTTATGATACAACACACTAGAACCTAGATGGGCAACAATTATTAAATAAATATTTATATTGAGGTATGGCAATCTGCATTATAAACTTTATTAAACCTAATGATAGCATGGAAAGAAAAATAGCTATGTAAACATTTTTTTAGTGATTAGAGTATTTGGACAATCAGTACATAACAGGAAACATATTTCAGGAATTCCTTATTTTGTTAATGTGATATATATATATATATATATATAGTTGGCAGAATAGATAAAAAGCATCACTTTGTTCCCCTAACAGATTATCCAGTTTTTAAAATTTCTCTTTAGCAGTAGAGCAACCTTTCTTTAGGAAAAAATGTTTTTTGCATATACAGATAACCTTCCTTCCATTTTTCTGTTTATAACACTACCTGCCATATTTGTCTATTACAAGTTAAATACAGAAAAAGAAGTTAAAAAATAAAGTGACTTTAAATATAAAATATTTAAAAAATAGATAATTTGTAGTTCTGAGTTCAAAAATTCCAAACTTTTACAGCCCGCACACTCAACTCCTCTTCAGCATCTTGACCTTAGATTAGTGAAAACAACGCATATCCCTTAAAAATATACTGCATCAAAAAAGGCAATGCCAGTAATCAGTGAACACCCCACCCCGCTTCTAATTCTCTAATGGCAGGACTGATATTTAGTTAACAAAAACTAGTCATAAAGATTGCATATGCCATGTAAGAAATGTTTTTCCAATACCCTTAACTGAGCTATTTAAAAAGTAATAAAATGTACTTCAGGTAATCAAAATATTTTGAAAAAATCAACCTTCACATCAAAATTATTTTAGTGATATATTTATCACATTTTTAAATATTTACTACTTAAAAAGTGGCTTTTATTTTCAGGAAAAAATAAGAAACTGAAAACGTATCGTCGGAGGCTTTCATGGCCGGAATCACTGGGTTGTTGTAGGTTTTTTCGGGCTATATGGCCATGTTCTAGAGGCATTCTCTCCTGACGTTTCGCCTGCATCTATGGCAAGCATCCTCAGAGGTAGTGAGGTCTGTGGAACTAGGAAAATGGATTTATATATCTGTGAAATAAATAGGTTGGGACAAAGGACTCTTGCCTGTTGGAGCTAGGTGTGAATGTTTCAACTGACCACCTTGATTAGCATTTGATGGCCTGGCAGTTGTTTGGTGTGGCTTGTTTTTGCCTGGGGCAATCTTTTGTTGAGAGGTGATTAGATGTCCTTGTTTGTATCCTCTCTGTTGTTTTGCTGTTGTAATTTTAGAGTTTTTTTAATACTTGTAGCCAGATTTTGTTCATTTTCATGGTTTCCTCCTTTCTGTTGAAATTGTCCACATGCTTGTGGATTTCAATAGCTTCACTGTGTAGTCTGACATGGTGGTTGTTGGAGTGGTCCAGCAGTTCTGTGTTCTCAAATAATATGGCCATATAGCCTGAAAAAAACCTACAACAACCAAGAAACTGAAATGTTGTATCATACTAATTTCTGCATGGCTAGAGAGTCCCAGATATATATTTGCTATGTGTATTTTATTCACACATATGTCTTAAAGATAGAAACAGTTGTACCAATTCCTTAGATAATTAATTCCGTGAAGCAATACATTTTTAGAAAAAGAATGCTTTCCGCAGAAAAATATAACAATTTTAACAAATGATAGATCCCCTTCCATTTTGGAATTTTTTCTATGCTTCATCTCTGCTATTACTATAGCATAAATATCACAACAATCTTTTATCACAAAAACATAAGACATAGTCTGAAACAGTATAGGGATTTGCAGGTTAGAATCAGCCACCTGGCCCCAAATCTCTACTCAGTCACCATGCTTTCTGGGTTGCTTTGGAAGTTCCAATCTCTCATTTTAAACTACTACACTGGAGAAATATATAAACTGCTCATACCTCCATGAAGGATGATCAGTGAAAATAAAAAAAATAAAAAATAAAAAAGTAGGATCCAAACTGTTTTTATGGGGAATAAGCTATTTAATTAATTTGGGTGAGAAGGGTGGCATATAAATGTAGTAAATAAATAAATTATTATTATTATTATTATTATTATTATTATTATTATTATTATTATCCCAAACCATTTCATGCATCTGCATGTTTTTAACATGGCAAGGAAAAGATCACATGAGGTTGTAACCAGACTTTTATCTAAAGCAGAGCTTGGCAAATTAACAAACTCCCTTCAATCCTCATGAATAGTGAATAATGAAGAATGCTGTGATTTGCAGCATAAAAAAGATCAAGATAGACACAGTTTGATTCCACATACATATGGCCTACTGAAAAAAGACAGATTGTACAGTGATATCCTTAATAGCTTTCTTCACTACCAAATATGTCTCCATCTTACAAGTATGCTTGTCTGCCAAGACAATGGGTATATCTGTTAAGTTGTCACTTCGGATAAACACAATGAACAATTAATAAGTTCAGGTTTATTGATGGCTTGTTTCTTCCCCAGTCCCCAATTTCTGCATAATCGCACCTGATCAAAAAGGCTAAAAAAAACACAAATGCTGACAACCCTAAAATGGTATCATGATTGGTATGACTTTATTTTAACAAACGATAATTTAATTTAAACTCCAGAGATTAGAATTCTGAAAAATGGAAAAATGATAACAAACAAACTATTTTGGCCTGTTGCTTGCCTGTATACTTGTAACATGTAACTATGCTTTGCATTTTAAACAACAATTGATCCAAACCACAGCTCATCACAATTACAAATACACTGTGGAGTAACATTCTATAGGTGGGCAACAGAAGCTTCTGAAGCCTGAAGACTCGTGTGACTTACTGGAACAGTAGTTGCCAACCCTGTAATTCTGGATTAGAAGTCTCAGTGGTTCAAGGCAGATAACCACACAGCAGGTAAGAAAACCAATCAGGCCTATGTATTGCCTATCACTGTTGTTCTGAACCAATGTGAATACAGATAGAATAAGCTATACAGTGTTTAGTCATGTCTCTTACAAACAAACCAATGCCTCCTAAAAATGTGAAGAAAAGTAATTGGAAGCTGTTTATTGAGGGAGTTAGATAATAAAATCTGGTAAGATTCATAAGGCTCTGGGGACGGGCAATTAGCTTGTTTAAAACTATAGCTGCACTCTTGTATGTATTTCCTAGCAATAAACATCACTGGGCATGATGTCCAACATTTCTTGCCACAAAAGGTTGACACCTTTTCGGCATGCCTGGAGGCCGGATGCAGCCCTCACAAGGCTTTGGTGTGGCCTGCAGAGGCTTTGAGAGGGAGGTCACATGCAGTGCTACAGCAGAATAGCAATCGGAGTGCGCTGTTCCCTCCTCCAAGTGACAAAGGGGACACTCCAATAGATTTAATCAGGAAGCTGGAAATACTGGTCTCGGTAGGAAACATGGCCTGGGAAAGTTGTTGGACTCAGGTTGGAGTAGTGGAGATGAAATTTTAAGGAGTATCAGACCTTTATTCAGGGAGGCTGGAATCTTGGGCTCCAAGTTATGTTAAAATTTAACATTTGATTGCTGTTTCAGAGGGATAAGTAGGCAGTTAAGTAGATGACTGGTTTTCATGTTTATGTATAATTGATTATACATTCCAGCATTGAATGTTTGCTGTATATATGTTGTGCTCCGCCCTAAGTCCCTAGCAGGCTGAGAAGGGCAGAATATGAATGTTTTAAATAAATAAATAATAAATAAAAAAGAGCCTCAATTTTTTCCTTTGCTGCTCTTCCTTTCTCTTTGCCTCTGCCATCTCCTTCTCATCTGAAGTCAAAATCACCTTTGCTTGCAAACCGCGTGAGGCAGTAAAAAGCTATCAGCAGCCTGAAGAGGATTCGCCTATTTAATTTTGTCCCTTTATTTATGCCAAGTTGTGCAGGCCTACCCAAAGGACCCGCTACCTGAAATGCTAACTGTTGGCCATGTTTGCTCATGAGGAAGTTGTTCACAGACATCACAGGCCTGATCTTACAATATCTCACATTGCTCTCTGAAGAATTTAGAACACAGCTCTTGTATCTCAAAGATTTGTTTCACTTGTCCGCTGATCATATCATACATAAAGCAAGATTAGATTGAGAGAAAGGAGAAATAAAATTGGAGGAAATAATATTAACAATTTAAGATACACTGATGATATCATACTAGCAGAAAATAGCAAAAGCTTGGAACAATTATTGCCAAGCTTAAGAGTGTGACAGAAACATAGCAAATAAATAAATAACAATTACTGAAGAAAGTTAAGAAAAAGTGCAAAAGCAGGTTTACAGATGAACATTAACAAAACAGAAATAATGATCACAGATAATTCACATTATTTCCAAGTAAAAAATGAAGACATTGAAATAGTTGAAGATTTTCCTTATCATTGCACAGTTGTTAATAAGAATGGGGACTGCAATCAAGAAAGCTGAAGAAAACCAAGACTTGGAAGAGCAACTATTAAGGAACTAGACAAGTTCCTAAAGTGTAGAGATCTATCATTGAATCCTAAAGTTGGATTTTTCCATTCTGTAGTATATCTGGTTTCTACATATGACTGTGAAAGCGGAGGAGTGAAAAAACACGATAGAAAGAAAATCAACTAATTTAAAATGTG